CGGACGCTGACGCCAGTCGACTCGAGTCGGGCGAGAAGGCCACTGACCTGACCCAATCGCTATGGCCCTCGAGCGTCTGCAGGCATGTGCTCCAGTCGTTGCTCATAGCTGGCCTAATCGTGATTCCTCCTGGCTCTTCGTGCCGAAAGAGTTGTCTCATCAGACTACCTTTTGGACTAAACAATAACGCAGATGCATATGTTTGAAGAGGGTAACTCTCAATTGCCCCTTTGTGATACAAAAGAAACCGATAAGCATCGTTAACAAGCGCCCTTACAGAATCTGAGTGTTCTTTTCCCTTGTCCCTAGTTAGCTTACAAACAGCCTACGCATCTAGCCTCCCTTGGACATACCTGGAATAGTGATTGCAGCTTAGTTATAGAAAGTACACCTTTTGGCATACTCCCGCAGAGACTTAGAGCTTCTAGCCAGTACAGATACTTCTCTCTCAAGAACGTATCTACAGTACCGCTACTCTGAAGACAGCCTGCGTAGGTTGCTGAGAATCTAGGGTTAGAGTCGCATAGGTGGTCGATCCAGTAGACACACGAGTAGCGTGACGCTGCTAGTGGGTCTGGCTTAGGCGCTTGTACGATCTCGACAGGAGACCCCAGAGCTTTCAAGCTGTACATATCCCTGTGCAACGTCCTAGACTGAATTGCGAGCGATTTCGAAAAGATTGCCTGATGAATATCTTCAGTTCTGTCTGGAAAGACCCCATTAAGCGCCTTTGCGAGGAGGAAGTCTTTTGCGGACTGATGCACAAAGTAGACGGTGTCATTGCGAAGGGTAAGAAACGATCCACAAAGGCCGACAATCTCTCGCACTGACTCCAAGTCGTTAGCAAGATTCTCGAGCGGCTGCACAAGGGCAATCAATTCGGGAATTGTAACAGGTCGATACAAGACTGTAGTCGAAGCTAGCACCTGCTGACAGATTTTGGCGCTGTTAGACTCGCTTATCTGGTCCAGCATCCGCTTGTACAAAGCGTCTAGCCCTGGTGGGAACAGCGTAATCTTCTCTAGGACGAGCCACTTTGGTGTCTCCTTCAGATCTTGGCACACCAACGCAACCCAGAGGAAGGTGTCGTTTGCGTTGGAAGTTAAGTGTTGGAGTACGACCTCTTCCACCTCTGGCGTGTAGCGTTTCTCTTGTGCCAGCTGACACACCTTCTGCTGGATGAAGACCTTAACCGCGGCCGCTACAGACTCGGCATTTAGCTCTAGGCTTAGCGTGGTTTTGTGCTCTGCAGCCCCAAGCTTTTCTTCAACAGCGGGCCAGTTGCGACTGGCCACGATCCACTTGACGCGAGAGGACGCAGAAGACTGCTTCGCGATAAAGCTGAGCAGCTCCGGCAGATCAGTAACGCACTCGTCTAGCGCATCGATGATCAGGTACGTCGCGCTTAAGCTCGTATCTCGCAGCACGTCGGCAAAGATCTCTGTCAAGGCGACCCAGGCATTTCTGTCTTCAAACATGGACTTGCCAGCTTGATCGTGCTTCTTGCGAATATGCCATACAAGCGACGGCTGCTGATCCATAAGCATAAACAGTAACCCTCGTAGCACAGCTGTAGCGCTGTTAATACGCGAGTCTGGTGCTTGGCAGAAGAAGTACGATAGAAGGGTAGTCTTAGGTGTTGAGTCGTGCAGTACGTCGATGATTCCGCAGAGCAGCATTGTCTTGCCCTTGCCAGGGTCACCTTTCACCCATAGCAGTTGGTTGTGCGAGTCCGTTTGCCATTGCTGGAAGGTAGTGTTGTCACGAATCCAGCAGTAAGAGTCTGCTAGCAGTCCACCCTTCATACCCTCAATGCGTTTCTTATCGTCGCACGGGTTACCTGGGCTTAAGTCTCGGAGGCAATTGTTCAGCTTAGATTTCTCCTCCTCAAGTCGTTTAAACGCACCAGCTGCCCCTTCTCCATAGCGAAGAGGCATTTCAATACCAAAGATACCAAGCAGTGAGTAAGCTTTGTCTTCTGGAATCTTTGTCTGGCGGTGCTCTATCCACGAAAATCGTTCTTTATCGCTGAACTGAGACAGAGGTACCCCTTGAAGCGCTTCTCTAGGAATCCCTGTTATTTCGTGTATTTGTTGCGTTAGGGATCCTGTATCGCCTAGTCGTGTGTGTTCCTTGGAAAAAAACTCGACACGGCTTGGGGCAAGGAGCTCCTGGAGCGTCCAGCCTCGGGTGAACCATCTGCTCTCCTTGAGCTCAGGTGTAGATGATTGCGGACTGGAAGGTTCTGATAAGAGAAAGAATCGTCGAATCATGCTGTGACACCAGCGCAATATAGGGTGGATAAGCAGGAATATCCAAACCCATGTAAACCATTCAGTTTTCAGGATCTCTGATGCCCGCAGGTTGCACTCTAAGCTGGTGTCTAAGGGTGGGCTCGAGACATCTGATAAGTAGACATAACATCGAGCTGAGTTGCGATACCAGCGAAACATAGAGTTGATAGCTAGCGAGAGCTCGGCATTGCTTTCTTTGTTAATGCAGCAGGTGTCAATCCAGAAGTATTCTAGGCCATCTCTTGAAGCTTGTTCTCCGCAGAACCGGATCTTCTGGTAGCCGCGCTTAGCCTGGCCACCGCCTTTTGCAAGGTCCGCGAAGGTCACCTCCTCCGTATCGGCTCCCCACGTGTGTGAGAGTATCGCATAAGGAGGTATCGCGTTATCGTCGAACGGAGTGATTGTGAGCTCTCCATCTTCTTCGTATTTTAGAAGACGCATCGATTGGTGTAGATATGTGGTGAGCGCATGCGGGGTAAACGAGACACGAGAGGTTTGATGTGGCAAGCTTGCCCTATTCACTCACTAGGTCAGCATATAGAATGGAAATTGGATAGCTGAACAATACCAAGGGTGAAAATACGGTCGAGATGTGCTTAATACTGCTTGACGGGCGTAAGCAGTCTTGCAAGACCTAGCATACTATCTGAGAGAAAGTTGTTGCTGCGCTGTCGAACCCAACATCAGACAGGAATGGCAGTATGAACGGAGGCGATAAGCGCAGAGCGGGAGCGGGATAGAGAGTAAAGCTGGGAGCAATGCCAGTTACTAGACTGAAGACAGCTGAGGTGATGTGTAGCAAGCTGAACGTGGCTGCGCATCTCAGCCGCGACCCCGCCGATGCGACGTGGCCCTGTCGCCTGCATGAAAGCGAACGTCTTCTCTGCTTACCAAAGCTGCGGGATTCGTTGCCACTGGACGAACGATGATTATTATGTAAGCAAGCTTTGGGCTTTGAAGTGTTGTAACGTGTGGACAGTTGATAACTTTGATGATGTCCTGCCCGCGCATGGTCCGTGCTGTGTCGGTCAGACAATGGAAAGTGCGTCGTCCCATCACCCCGTCAATCGGGCTTTCACCTCCCGGCCACTGCCTCGCATGGCCTTATTCACAAGATCATTAATTTATTCCCCCACTTCCTTGTGCTTTGCACACGACTTTCCTGGGACTTTGATTCGCTCGCCTTGTCCTATCGGAAAGTGATTTAGGCACTGCACGTTGCCGCTCTCTGACTCCGTCCGCGGCCAAAGCACCGTCTTCGCCCACGTTGACCCATGACGGCGATATCGATACAGACTGTATCGCGTAATTGTGATGCCCACAGTAGTCAAGTTGAAAGGAGCCTGCTCCTTGACTGCGCTGAGCGTCTGCCAGCAGCAACGGAGAGGCAAAAGGATGACAAACGAAGTCTTTGGATGAAGATTGCAATACTGTAAGCATAGTCAAAAGCGCCGTTCTAATAAATTCGCACCACTGGGGCCCTTCACGGGACTGAAGTGTCTGTTAGCGCCACCACCTCGTTCACCCGCACAACTTTGGAAGAGCTCGCTCGGCGAAGGATATCCGGGCGGCACTCGCGAGCTTCTGTATGCGCCTCTGTACACACTGCCTGCTAGCCTCACCAAGCGTCTGAGTATCATCTTTGATCATGTCATGCAACATTGTGAGTGCTTCGGCTGCCACTAGTGTCACGGGTGGAACAGGTGTGTGCACCATCTCAGCTAACAGACAGGGTCCAGCCGAGACTTTGACTCTTGGAATGACAAGTTTAGCTGGGGGCTTCGGAATGCCTTTCGGCACTCTTTTTGGGTTGAAGAGAAACAAGCCAGTCGCTGCCCATCTGGCTCGGATGTTGCTCTTGGTTATAGCCCTATCTCTTGCAGAGCCGCACAGGTAGGGGAAATGCTCTTTGCCAACCGTGTCTACGCCTCCACGGTTCAGCCTCTCAACCTAGTCACGATAGGCCGTTTTTAAAGGCGCGAAGGGCCCGACGTCGCATGGCTGGAGCTTTGTGGGAGGTATAAGAGGGGAGACAGCACAAGACAATGTTGTTTGACAGGCAAAACTCTAGGATCTCAAGAGTTTCATGCGTCCCAAAGCCATCGACCACAAGAACGCGTGGCTTCCCTTTGGCACGCCCTCTAGTCTGCGGGTTGAATACACGTGTGAGCCACTCCAGGCTGATGTTGGTGTCGTTGTAGCCATTCTTAGAGTGCGCGTAGTGCTATCCTGGCGTCTTGTGTGTCGTCGAGTTGCTTTAGTGAGTTGAAGCAGGCTAGATTATCAAAGGTGGCAGGGCCCTACCATCAGCACTTATGCATTCAATCGCTGTCACTATAGTGTGCTTCACACCAGCACGTCTGTTGTTCTGTTGGTCGTCTTTACCTACCATGACTTTGACTGAGCCAAGCATGCTTAGAATGACTCCTGTCTTGTCTATGTTATACACGTTTTCTAGCACGACGCTAGGGTCCTGCAGTACCTGTCCAATCACGTTGAACCACTCTACGACCTTCTCGTGTATGTTGCTCCTTTGGCGCTTCCAGTCAATCGATCGACCTCTCTTGGCCTGGAGCTGGGGGTGCTGTTTCTCCAAAGTCCTTAGCTAGTTCTTGCCTGGGGGCTTCGTCGATCGGTTCCTAGACGTCCGTTGACGGGCTATACTGAAGGCCAGCGAGCGTATGAACTTGATTCGCACGGGTTGCCCAAGAGTAGACTTGAGCTGTAGGGACCTCACGAGGGAGATCTCCTCCTCGCGACTCAGGTACTGCTGGCTCTCGGCCTGCTCCTCGCGCGAGCGTCGTCCGTGATCACGATGAATGACCGTGGAGAGGGGAGCACTGCCATATTCTGACCGGTTAGCACATGTATCAGCTACGCCTGGCGGCAGAGCCTGCGCCAGCGCTCGGCTGGCTATGTCCGTCACAGTAACTGTTGTGGTGTAGGGGGAACGATCAATAGGCCAGCAACGGCCTCGTATGCTCACCTTCTAAGAATAGCGCGCAAGCGACTGTGACTGTGCACGCACCAGGAGAAGCTTCTAGAAGCGTGCGCCACAGCTCGACTATCTTTGGCATAGCGCAGGTGTACATTACAGCATCTTCTAAAACATAGACACTATTCTCTAGATGCGCCGAGATAACAATTTCGGCAGATACCTAACAGGGGTGCAGCAGGGGTATACAACTGTTGTCGGTTCAGACCCTGTGAACAAAATGACTAGCAGCAGGGGTACACAGCTGTTGTCGGTTCAGACGCCGTGAACAAGATGACTAACAGCACGCCTAAATCTGCTGTATTTTTTGTGCGGCGGACTGAAAATAGGAGAAGTCCTACCTATAGAACATTTCTGTACTGCCTGCAGCTCTGTAAATCTGCGGCGTTGAGGTGCCAAGTGCTTGAACCAGAAATCTGAGTGGGTGCGGGGGGTTGTTCGAACCGTAGGCATGGACTTTACCATCAGCCAGCCATCCACCCCGTCTACGTCGTCTTAGGCTTCACGTTGAAAAAAGCACTCATCTTCCTCATCCCACTCGTATCCACCTTTCTCAACTTCTTCACCCCCAGACTCTCCCCTTTCTTCCTAGCCGCCTCTTCTTCCTTCCTCCGCTTCTTCTCCTCCCGCTCCGCCACCAGTTCCTCGTCCATCTCCACCGCGCGCTTGCGGCTCGTGTTGTCGCTTATACTGCGCTGGGCGAGTGCTGTTGCGCGGAGGGCTGCTAGGGTGGAGAGGTGGGCTGTGAGGGGGTGGAAGAGGGGGAGAGTGCTGAGTAAGGTTGTAATTGGGGAGGTGAGCGAGGGGGGGAGGTAGGATGTGGTTAGGTATGTGAGGGCTGTGCGGAGGCGGAGGAGGTGCGTTATTGGCGCGTTCAGCCCGGGGTCCTGCGCGGCGGCGTCGTCGACTGTGCTGTCTTCGCTTTCGCCCGAGCGCTGGATGCTGAGCACGGGCGCGTCGAGCGCGGATTTGATCAGCTTTTCTTCCATGCTCGCTGGTAGCCCGTGGCGCACCATGCGTTCTGCTTTCTGCATCAACACGGCCTGCAGCCTGGCGTGCGATAGCCGGTACATTGTCTCGTCGCCGGCGTCGACGGTGTCGCAGACTGTGCGCATTTTCTCCTGCAGCGTCGTCTTGAGGGCGGGGTGGTGGCCGAGCAGCGTGCTCCAGTGCCGCGAGACAGCCCCCAGTTTGTCTGTGTAGTCGTCGAGCGCGAGGAAGTGCTGGGTCTCTGCTCTTGCGGATTGCGGCGCGAGGGCAGGCAGGATCAGGAAGAGCAGGTCGATTGGGGTTGCGAGGAAGAGGCTGGCGTCTTTGGTGGTGAAGCCGCTCCCCAGCCCGGTCTCTGGGTCTTCGTTCGTGGCATGGGCCTGTGGGCTCTCTGACGGCTCGTTGTGCGCGACGGGTGTTGCGTCGTCACGCGTCATCAGCCAGCTGCGACATGCCTTCTTCGGCGCCGCGATGCGTGTGAACTCGTAGAAGCCTGTCGACGGGCAGAAGAAGTAGCGTGAGGGCGTGCTGGTGGCGGGATTGTCGAGCGTGACTATCCGGGCATCTTTCGATGTGTGTTTGGGCAGGATGAACAGCTTCGGCGGGTTCCGTGTGGCTTCTGGGAGCCGTGTTGCTACGGACGGCGCTGGCTCTGGTGTGGGTTCCTTGGGCGCGGGTTTTGCGCGTGTTGCCCTTGCCATGGTGGGGTGTGTGTTTGTGTGTGTTTGTGTGTGTTTGTGTGTGTGTGTGTGTGTGTGTGTGTGTGTGTATTTGTTTGTGTGTATTTATTTGTGAGTGTATTTGTTTATGTGTGTATTTGTGTGTGTGTATTTTTGTGTGTGTGTATTCTTGTGTGTGTGCGTGTGTGTGTGTGTGTTCTTCTTCTATGTTCTAAACACAGCCGCTTTCGTAGAATATCCCGTGGAGTACTTCGTATGCGGCGCGGTGCCCGGCCGAGCGTAAGTGGTACGCGAGCGCGACGCGCACACGCGATCCCTGCAGTCTCATCTGCGTGTGTTCCTGGGCCGCAACCTTATTTGCACGGCCAACAACAACAGCGAGTCAAGACGCCAAAACAGGCCTGACGCGCGCCCCAAGCCACCCCCAAGCGTTCGCACACGGCGTCCCCGCTGCTCTCCGTCGGGCGCAGGAAATGGGTGCGCGCGATCAAACCCTCGTACACACACACAAGCGACCACAATGGTGCGGGAGAGCCCCAGGGCCAAGGGCGCGTCCTCCAGTCCCCCGCATGCAGAGCCTCAGCTGACCGCCGCAGCTTCCAGCAATCCCCCCAACTGGCCGCCCAAGTCCCCCCACGAGGCCCTGCTGAGCTCGCCGTCCGGCCGCAAGCGCTACGAACAGCGCCGCGCCCGCAAGTCTGCGTCGCCCTCGCCCGCAAAGCGCCGCCCGCTGTCGCTGCAGCACCAAGTCCCGCATGGCGACGGCGACACGACCGAGGACGAGGACGAGGAGACGCTGCAGCTGAAGCTGCAGGCTATCGAGGCCCGCCTGAAGCTCAAGCAGCTGCAGAAGGCACGCCGCGCCGACCCCGAAACCCGCGCCATCCCCTCGCGGCCAGGCACCGCAGCCGGCCTGCGCAGAGCTGACCTGCCGCAACCCGGCAGCGGCGTGCAGGTGCCTGTGTCGCCCACTCGCGCTCGGCGCAATGCAGACGAGCCGCGCAGTCCTGCACGCGTTCTGCTGGGCATCGACAAGGGCCTCCGGGCGTCTGAAGTCAGCCTCAAGCGCCCCGGCCCGCCCCGAACGAACGGCCTCGTGCGCTCCAACACCACTGGCTCGCTGGGCACGCCCCGGATCAAGTCGTTCAGCGAGCGCATCGCCGAGAGCAGGAGCAAGGAGAAGCAGCGCGAGGCGAACGAGCACGCGCACGAGGAGCGAAGAGCCCGCGGATTCGGCCACGCCAACGTCGCGGGCCTCAAGCGCGAACGGCCCCCGTCGTCACGAGGCTCCTCGTTCACCTCGGACGCTGGCGCTCGCAGCTCCTCGACCGACACGCCGCAGATTCGCAGCTCCTTCACAGGCATGCCACCGCCCGGAGTCAAAGCGCACAGCAGGACACCCAGTCGCCTGCTCAGCTCTCAGGAACCCCAGCCCACACCACGGCGAGAATCTGTTCCTGATGCGCGGCTGCCGTTGTCTGCGTCGAGACCGGCGTCGATTGACTTCCAGCCGAAAGCTACGTCTGCCAGCTTCTCGAAATACGAACCGCCGCCGTCGTCAAGAGGAGTTCAAGCTGCGACACCCTCTGCCAGCTTCTCCAAGTACGAAGAGATGGCGCAGCGCAACGACAGCTTCGACGGGCCCAGTTTTGAGTCTCTGTCCGGCCTGCACTTGAAGTCACGGGAGATGCAACACAGTGTCGTCACGCGCACCCTAGAAGGCAAGACCGTCTTCACAATACCGCAGCTTCTCAAGACCGTCAAAGCGCCCGACTATGACCCGCCCGACTGGGAGAACGACTATGTCGTCATGGGCGTGATATGTTCAAAGTCTACGCCACGCGACACTCAGAACTCGGCGAGAGAGAATTCACGCGGCACCCAGGAGCGCAAAGAGCACGGCAAGTTCATGGTCATACGGCTGACGGACATGAAATGGGAGCTCGACCTGTTCCTGTTCGACAGCGGCTATGAACATTTCTGGAAGCTACCAATCGGCACCCTAGTCGCTATCCTGAATCCAGATATCATGCCACCAAAAGATCGCAACAGCGCCAAGTTTTCACTCAAACTCACAAACTCTGACGATACCGTGCTCGAGATTGGCGTCGCGAGAGATCTGGACTTTTGTCACGCAAAGAAGCAAGACGGCAAGGAGTGCGGGCAATGGGTCGACGGCCGAAAGACTGAGTTCTGCGACTTCCATCTCTCCTTGCAGGTCGAGAAGAGCAAGAGAGGTCGCATGGAGATCAACGGCATGGTTGGCACCGGCGGTGGAGGTGGCATGTTTGGACGCAAAGCCCCAAACGGTTTCAAAGGCGACCAGCTGCGCAAAGAAGGCAAATTCCACGACAGCTATCTGCACGAGACCATGTTCATCGCACCGAGGCCCGGAGGTGCCGCGCGCATGCTCGACAGAGACGAGCACGGCTTCGAGCGCGGTGGCAGTCGGGAGGAGCGGCACCGCAGACAACTTGCCGCGAAGGAGAAGGAGCGAGACCTGGCCAAGAAGCTGGGCGAGATGGGCGAAGGCACCACAGGAGGCGACTACCTCAGGAGGAAAGCCAACCCCTCCGCCAATCTCTCTACTACAACATCGCAAGAGCTGGCCAACGCAAGGCAGGACAAGGCTGCCGAGATCGACTTCCGCGGACTCCTCAACCGAAAGGCAGCCGACGTCTCGTTGAACCGAAAAGCGAGCGGCTCCCTCATACCGTCAAAACGAAAACACTCCAACGCAAGCAAGGCGACTGCCAACAGCGCCAGCGAACCTGTCGGATGGGGCGGTGCACACAAGCGCAGTCTCCTCCTGTCACCGCAGAAAGCTCGACCGCTCTCGCCAACAAAGTTCCGCCCTGATTCTGCCATGCGCGGGACTAGAGCCGGCAGTCCGGCAAAGAAGAAAGCCCGTCTACTGCTCCCAGAGAAGGGCATACGTGAGCCTGGCCGAGAAAGTCTCGGAGGCCTTGACATCGGTCTCCTTGCGGCCATGGACGTGGACGATGACGATGACGATTTGGAGGTTGTGTAATTCTCATGATATCCTCCACCAGTTTCAGGGGTTCTTGCGTACGATTTCAACACGCAGACTATGGCGTTCAAAATGCGGCCCGCTGATTGGCGGCGCTAAGCGAGGGGTGGGCGAATTTGCGCTTTGGGCTTGGACGCCCGGACATATACCACAGTAACGAGTTTCCTAGTGTACAACAGTATCCATAGACCTGCCAGTGGTCTTCTCTTTGAATCAAGAATCTTATTGCTTTCCAAGTCGCCGCTACAGCTGCAGGCTCGTTGATGGGTTCACGTTGAATCACCTCGGTCAGAAAGAGCAGGGACGTCACCCATAGGGACCAATGACCTTGGCCATGGCATCAGCACCGGAGACACCGATCCACGCGCTGATCAACTACGAAGATCCCTACGTGCAACCCCTCATTCTGTCTGCGCTCGAAAAGCGCCTCCCCGCATCATCCTACAAACTCATCAGCTCCCTCACGGACCTCCCTTCACCGTCGACTCCATGCCTCCAATTCGTGCAGTACGAGTCAATCGACTGGGACCATCTCATGTCTAGCCCCAAAGCCCTGGCCAATGCATACGTGATCCGCAAAGCTCTGATCCGGAAACACTACCTCAGCACCACCATCGCAAACTGGATCACAAAGTACCCCGACAGCGCGCTGAAGCGGGGCGCAAAGCCGAGCGTCGAGTTTGAAGTCGACTACGCCGAGTTCCTGGACGACGCGCTCGTCGAGGCATGGGAGTTGAAGGAGAGTTGGGCGCGCAGTGAGCGGTTTGCCGACGACGAGAGGGAGAAGCGCGAGTGGTGGATTCTAAAGCCGGGGATGAGCGATCGCGGGCAGGGCATCCGACTCTTCTCGTCCGAAGAAGAACTAACAGCCATCTTCGAAGAATGGGACCCGGAGAGCGACGACGACGACGACGATGAGCAAGACGCACGCAGCGATGCCGACGACGCAGAAAAGGATGAAGGTATCATCACAAGCCAACTCCGCCACTTCGTCGCACAGCCCTACATCCACCCGCCCCTCCTCCTTGCACCGCCCGGCGCACCCTCCCAGCCCAGGAAATTCCACATCAGGACCTACGTCCTCGCCACCGGCGCCCTACAAGTCAGCATCTACAAGCCCATGCTCGCGCTCTTCGCAGCACGCCCCTACTCCCCCCCTTGGGAGACCGACTTCGCATCATCTGCAGACCAGCGCGACGCCGCCATGCGCGCACACCTCACAAATACCTGTCTGCAAGCCAGCGGCGACCGCGACGGCTCCGTGGGCCTATTCTGGGACCTCCCCGACTCCGCCGCCGCCCCGCGCGGTTGGAAAGACGACGTCTTCGCGCAGATCCAGAGCATCACGGCTGCGACCTTTGAAGCGGCTGCGCGCGGCATGGGCGTGCATTTCCAGCCCCTACCCAATGCGTTTGAGATCTTTGGGCTGGATTTTATGGTTGGGATTGAGGACGATAGCGCGCTAAATACGTATTTGCTCGAAGTCAATGCATTTCCTGATTTTCGGCAGACGGGGGGTGAGTTGAGCGGGGTGATTGCAGGGTTGTTTGAGGGCGTTGTTGAGGAGGCAGTGTTGCCGTTTTTTGGTGTTGAGGGAAGGGGTGAGAAGAGCGGGGACATGGTTAGGGTGCTGGACATTGATCTTGGGAGAAGGTAGAAGATGGTGAGCGGTGAATGAGGGCGGAGTGTTGGAGACAAACGATAACCGCTTCGACTGATTACCGCTCAACTCAAACCAATCCCTCTCCTTCCCTTCCCGTTCACATACCCGTCCATCTCACCGAACTCTTTTATCCAATGTAAAATCAAGAGAGGTCCGAAAACGCCGCACGAGCCGATTGCTTGCCTGCATCGAATTCCATCGGCAGTGGCAACTGGTACAAGTAGCTAAGTCTACCGCAATGCAAAGGGCAGCATAAGTCAGTGGTATGACCTAGCGAGCTGCAAAGTCAGCGACATCAGGATACATCAGTACGCGCTATGCAATGGAGCAAAGCACGTCCCATCCCTTGCCGCGAAAGTACCCGCACGATCGAGAATAAGTGTTGGGCAACTGGTACAGACGAATAGACCCCATCGAGCCGCGCCACTTCAAGTCACGATCACGAAAGGCGGCTCGCGGTGGACTGTCAAGGCAGCAAGACTAGCACGGAATATCTCGTAGCTATCAGACCCGCGGGGCTTCAGTTCACCTCGCGATGGCGTGTTTGGACACACCCACGTCTGCCTTAGCTATGCTTCGCGCGAGCCTTGAAATCGACGTTCTCTGCACCATGACCCAGCATATCCGAGGTGAAAGACTGGCAACCCACCACTACCGCCGCGCACAACGCTAGCGCGGCTCAACAGAACGTACTGCACGATATAATGCTACCCGGAACTTGAAGATCTCGGAACCTCCAGGCTTGTCCCGATCCGTGGCACAGACCGTGTCTGGCGGACTCTCGAACAAAGCCAATGCAAGAAGACGCTCGCGAAGATGATCAATGCCGCAATCTTCACGAGCAACGATGCGCACGTCCTGATCGACGCCACGTTCGCTGGATCGTACGCCCGGGCAGCTGTGACTGCGACGACGGCCTCCAGATAAGTAGAGGCTGAGCGGAAGTGCATTGAGATAAAGCAAGCCCTGAATGACCTGTTCGACATGCCAAACGTCTTCATCAACAATGTTGCTGCTCGGAGCTTCGGGACCGCGATTCAGTGTGGGGGAGAAATATACAGATGCGTTATAGCTGAACGGGAGGAGGCGGGTGAGAAAGGATATACGCAAAAGGTTCAAATCATCAGGGAGGTCTTCGAGAAGGCTAAGGAGCTGAGTCGCGAGCGGATCATCCAGCTGAGCAAGATCCCAGAGCAGTTGGCACAGGTGTGAAGCGCAGGACAGCTGCTGATGCTTTCGGCAGCCTGTCCTACGGCCAAAGTAGGGTATTCGGTTGTTGGCTTGAGCACTAAGTGTTCCTTCGCTGAGACGGCAAAGGGAAAGGGCACATGTGCTGGCAGCGAACGTCTCGTTCCATTGACTTCACAAAACGTGCTCGTGAAGCAATTTCTCGTATCCAGTGTCGGTCCTCTTGCTTTTTGTCGGTGGTTTGCTTCTAAGCAGCTGCGATCAGTAACAGTCGTGTGGAAGAGTAGTGCCACCTCCGAAAAGTCACTGATATCCTCAGAGACAGATTGTGGCGATCCTGAACCTGAGACTAAGCGACGGTAGATAACGCGAGAGACGCTGTTCATGTCTCCACCCAGCTCATCAGAAAACGTCTTCCGATAGCAGAGAGCACCGAGCGCGCCACTAGCTGTGCCAACTCACACCTACGACCACCGCCGCCCTACTTTATAGTGGCACCTGGGCTACTAATGGTGCCCTTGAGTTTCCCAGCTTCTTGTTCGACTATGCAGATATAATCGTCCACAGCCCGCGTGTTCGAGCGTTACACCCATCGCCGCACATGCCGCTACACAACTACGAAATGCCTGCTCAGACCAGGATGGCTCGCGACTCTACCATACAGCTATGTCGATACCTTGGATATCATCGCGTTGGCTGTCTGGTGGACTTTGATCGATTGAACTTGCGCTTCTTGACGGGGAGGCGACATGGGTCAACCTCGATTTTATCGGAAGACGAGCTACGATACGTGTCCGTATCACACAATGTAAAGATCGTCTCGATGGACGCTTTCGAGCCCACGAGGAGCGAGATGCAGCTTAGGATCCTGCACCCTGGCGATTTCTTCTATCCTGTTCGTGAGGAAGAAGAGCTTAAGAGCAAGTTTCGTCCGTCCAGAGAACTTCAGGACAAGCGCTTGCAACAGCCCTTGGAGCAGTGCTCGAGAGCGGAGTAGAACTCGTGGTTTGTAGCTACTCGCGTCCAGGAGGGTGGTGTAGCTTGTCGCATGTCAAAGATCATTGACGGTTGCTGTCAGCGGGTTGCGCTGAGCACGCTAGAAGACTAGCGCGTTGCATCTGCGGGAAAGGGATGGGCTGGGAGCCTTGAAACTTGCCCTCACTCAACACAACGACAATTTGATTTCAAGATATATCAGTTCTCGAAACACTCAATTACCAGCTGCGCGCCCGTTCCGCTGGCATGCCAGAATGTGCCTAATGCAGGCCATGTGCGCTCACGAAGCGCAAGAGTGGACGACCGCAGCCGACGACACCTTGCCAAGGACATACACGGCAGAGGACTAATCGACATCACAACACGAAACCCGCCTTCCGAAAGCACCTCCGGATGTAGCTATCCTGACTCAAGCGCCCGTCCCCAAGAGTTCTGGCCGCTCCTGTCAGCTGTTGCGGCGCGCGCGCCGTCCGCCATGTTCCATCCATAGGGCTTGGCTCGGCCCTCTTCGAGGAAAGCGCGCACGATCACAAGATTTGTAGAAACTTGGACCTTGGGTCTTGTTTCATGATCACCAGGCGAAGCGGTGCACAGGTGGTGGAAATTGGTGGCGTCTGGGGAAGTTTGACACCATCTCGGCTTAGATTGCTCCGGAAGTATGCCCAGATTCCATCATTATTCGCGTGTCGACATTACAGGACGTTGCTGCATGGCTCATCAGAAACTGTGCACCTGAGGTAAACGAAGGCGGGAGCGGAACTATTCCTGGAAACGTTCTACCCCGGGCATGCCGGCAGCTGTCGGCTTCCAATACCCCGGATTTCCTGCCAAGTCAATCAACTTCACGAAGCTACTGCGCACATGCAGCTAAACTAGGAGTAACGTGGCACTTCGAAATGGCAGTTCCCCGCAGGTAATATACTTCAAGCAATTGCTAGGTGGCACACTGATCGTCACCAAGATATATTTCGCGGAAGATTTACGGAGTCGTCCAAGCTTTCCCTTCGTCCATATGAGATGAACAAGGAGGAGCTTCGTTGATAAAAGGCGGGAGTTGGCCCTGTGGATGGCTCCCAAAGCGCTCGGAGCACCTCAAGTCTACGCATCTCGACAAAATTATCGACACAATGTTGGGCTCATCATCCATTGTTTCGTTGCTTGCGCTGGCGTCCACCGCCTTTGCTGCGCCCAGCGGCAGCATTGAGAAGCGTGCGCCAACTGTGTACCTCGCTGGAGACTCAACGATGGCAACAGCCAATGGTGCCGCTGGTACTCTTCAGGGTAAGCTTTCCACGGCAGCAAGACCCAAACATCGTTTAACAAAGGACAGGCTGGGGAACTTACCTCCCATACTCACTGACTACAACTGTCGTCAACAAGGCTATTGGTGGCCGTAGCTCTCGCTCCTACACCGTTGAAGGCCGCTTCACCGACATCATCAACACCGTCAAGGCCAACGACATTGTCATCATAGAGTTCGGCCACAACGACGGCGGATCCCTGACTCCCACCGACAACGGTCGCTCTGTTTGCCCAGGCAAGGGCACCGAGACTTGTCAGTCAACTTACAACGGTGCGGCCACGACCGTGTACACATACCCCTTCTACCTCATCCAGGCCGGCAAGGCCATCATCGCAAAGGGTGCCAAGGTCATCATCAGCAGCCCGACCCCCAACAACCCCTGGGAGTCTGGCACTTTCACTTACAGCGCTAGCCGCTTTGTCGACTACAGCAAGAGTGTCGCTGCGACTCTTGGCTCGAGCGCATCTTACGTTGACCACGGTGCTTACGCTGCCGCCGCCTGGCAGTCGTTGGGCAAGGCAACGACCGATGCGTACTTCGTTTCTGGCGACCACACCCACACTCTTCCCATTGGCGCTGATGTTGTTGCCAAGTCGTTCGTCAAGGGTCTGCAGTGCGCTGGAGGTAGTTTCCTCAATGGATATGTTAAGAACAGCACTGCAAGCATTACTGGCAGCTGCATTTAGATTGCGGGTAGTAGTTGATAGCCGAACAAACATGCCTCAGGCAGCCCGTTTCGAGAGTTCTGAACCTGGTGCAGCCTATTAAGGAGTGCAAGACTTGTCTCGACAGATTAAATGCCCCGCGATTCGACGTTGTCCATCCATACCGGCCTCTTCGTTGAAAGGAATAGCGGAGATAGGGCCGACAGTCCAGGGCCTCTTCTGGCTCCCCTCAGAAGGGCCTGGCATCTATGGCGCATAGTCAGAGGTGAAATGGACCAGCATTGTATCGTGCTGCACGAGAATCATGGTATATATGCTTCGCCTGATATTTGTCCACTTCGTTGATATTCACGGGTCCCTTCATTCGCATCAGCCATGGTGAAGTCGGCGTATCCCACCCAGAAGCAATGAGGCCAGATTATGTTGAACCCGCTGCCTAAGGTCGAGAGTTGTTCAAGCTCTTGAGATGAGAAGCGGTACTTATGGGGTAGACTGAGTATGATAGTATCATATCCCTACCGGACACACGGGACCAGACGCCCATGTCCGCTACAGATCCAAAAGAGCAAGTACGAAGGACGAAAATTCTCGCCGCCGGTTTCGCACCTTTCCATATCATCAAGTCTGAGCCCTATCGGCTGCATCTGTCTTCCAAAAGAGCTTCTCCTTAGAATTCCGTCATCCGGCAAACCTGTCTATCTCGACAAGTGGTTCAACTACATGGCCTTTGAAGTGATCGGCCAAGTCGTTTTCTCACAACGCTTCGACTTCCTGGAGGCAGGCGAAGACCTCGGTGGCTCGACCGCGAATTTGCGGCTTCTTGTGCCCTACGTTACTTTGGCTGGCTTCTTCCGTATATTACATCGACTTACTGTTGGCAACCCGCTGTTTACAGACTGGAACCTCATGCCCACTCAGCACATCCTTGACACGACACTGAGAGCTCTCGAGGCTTGTACGAAGAAGCCAGATGTCCAAGAGGGTATCTTGTCGCTCGGGCTAGAGCAGAATGAACGATTTTCCTGAAAACTTGTCGGAGAAGGAGTTATGTGGGTGTGTCAACATGACTGTTGGTGCTGCTTCAGACACTGTTAGCGCGAGTTTACAGTCGTTCTCCTACTGTTTGATCCGCCATCCGCAGCATCTTGAAACAGCAAAGCAGGGGATTGCGGACGCGAGCCTGACTGAAAACGTTGTCTCGTGTGCGTACTGGCGAATACCTGTACAGTCTTCGCTATTGTGTACGAGCTATGGCCATTGGCCAGTCACGTCTGTCTCGTCCGTTTTGTTCGGACAATCAATATGATGTTCCATTTTTATACACCAAAATGAGAATGCCAGGACACATGCTGGTGGTGGTCTCGGCTATATTTAACCGGAGGGACTTCACTGTCTCTCCATTTGATGTTGAACTCGATATCAACCCATTCATTCATAGAAGATGTCTCGGAGCTTCTTGGCAGGTATCATGGGTGCATAAAGCAGCAATCTCTAGTGTCCAAATCGCCAGCTGCACAGAAGAGCTGCTCCTGTCGACTTCAGAACCTCCTACACGCACATTCGTCACCGAGACGAACAGATCTCCCGACGATTGCTGTTCAGGAAGAGGTGGCTGAACTTTCAATCTCAATACAGACTACGGAGGCGAAGCTTTCTGCGGCATTACTATTTGGAGATCGACTATACGATATTCCAACGAGCTCTCGCGCTCTCGGGATTAAACAGGATCATCAGCTCGAATCCTTCCTCGTCTCTGCGGATTCAGAGGGGTCGTCTGTAACACTGAGCCCTGAGCCGTCTACATCGAGGACCATACAAGAGATGGACAGTTCCCCGTACAGTCGTACTTCAACTTCACGAACCTCGGGGCTCCGGGAATCATCACATCCAGAGGAATAATTGGCAATAACCTACTCGGATCCCACTACAGAGGTCCCAAGGGGCCTGTCACCTCTCCGCCCTCCAAACAGTGGGATACGCCTGTCAAATTCGTCATCGAGACGAAATTCTTTAGGTTTAAGCGATGAAGCACCGCGGTGCGCGTTTTGTGACTAGATATTCGTTCAACACAGTGAACTGAGGTGAGTTAGAGGTGATCCCACCAATCTGCATTTGCCAACTCCTGGCCAGGCGACACATACTCTGCAAGCATTCAAGGCGCTGGCGCTGCCAAATCTCAGGTTGCGACCGAGAGCCTTTCGGTCTGAGAGCTGACCTGAAACGACATCTTGCCACGGTTCACTGCCTGAGAGACAGTGTGAAGTGTCACGCGCCAACTTGCTCGAGGATGTTCAAGCGATAGAACATGCTCCGCCTTGCCAACAAGGATCACTGAGATGGGAAAGATGGGAGAGATGATGTTGCTGGGAAGATGACAGGTGGTAGTGTGAACAAGTAGTACGAAAATGCAGAAGGTCTTATTATGGAAGATCGGGTGCCAGACAAGGAACACTACTACCACACTTCGTTATTTCGTCATGACTCTGAGCCAATAAAGTCTGTTGTGGCATCAAGTAGAGGATTTTGGTCAACTCCGGAGGAAAGTTTGCTTGCATAACGTGCGCTGCAAATATGGGCCATCGTACTCAGAGCTCTAGCGTACCGATCCTGCTTCCAGCACTTCCACCAACACCCCACGGGCCCTCTTTGACCCTCCTCTTGACCATGAACAGTACATCTTCGCGTCCACCATTCTGCTCCAGTTCCCGTCCCAGTGCCTTCAAGACGTCGAACTTGGCCATTGCTACCTGATACGCTGCATTCTCGGCATCTCCTCGCCCGCCAACAAGGTTCGAGAACGACGTAGCCGGCTTCAGTAGAGCGGGAAGCACGCCGCCGCTGATGCTGGAGTCGAGAATCAGATCTAGTCCGGTTTTAGGAAAGTTACTGAGACGAGCGTAGATAGGGTCGCCTGCAGGTACATCCGGAATGAGTTCGCTGGACCATGATGCGGTGATCAAAGCTCGGAGGAAAGCAAGAGCTGCAAGAGCGTTCTCCTTCATTGCGACAGTATTTGTGTGGCTGATGATATCTGAAAATGTGTTCGGCTTCTTGTTGATGAACAGCGCGGTGAGTAGGCGGGCGTATGCGGATTCATTTTCTATGCGCTTCGTGTCTGAATCTAGCGTCTCGACTTGCGGAAATGTGAGCTCCTCCTGCACCCTATTAGTTGTCGTGCATAGAATCAAGTCAGTCTCACGCACCTTTGGCGGTCCACGGAAGACAGTTGCTAGCGTCTTGAGCGCGTCTTGATTGGTTCTCGTGATAGGCATGTCAAGTATGATACATTCATCCCAAGCAAGGCTTGAGCCGCGGCGAGGAATGAGCGTTGACCTCGGCATAGAGGCGATGATGTCGAGGTCGCTGGCTTCACACTTTCGAATGTTGCGGTGGACATAGTCTCGTATTTTCGATAACTCTGGGCTCTTCTCAAAGTTCTCTGGGTAGTTGTGGGCGTAGTCGCTAATGTACTTGGCTGTCCGGCTGCTGAGGAAAGAATGTTCAACGCCAGGGCTATCGGTAGTGTGGAAGTCGATAAGCTGCTTGTGTGTCCCTTGCTCTTGGAGAAAGTCTAACGCAAGACTTGAACAGTAGTGTCTATGTGTTTTGTCAGCAGCGACTGGGTGGATATACGGGGTACACACGTAAGATGTGGAGTTGTCTTGACGGTAGTAATTAGCTTACTGAAGAAGCTGATAAGCGTCATGTACATGAGCATGTCTTCCTCGGTATCCACCATCTTCATTGTAGCGTAGTGGAGCAGGCCTTGATCCTCACTCAAGCCAATCTCACGTTCCACATCTGTGGCGTGAGGTACAACAAGTGTGTCCCAGTGCAATGATCCCACCCGCGGCAGCAACGACAACAGCCTTGCCTGCGCTATGGTCTTTTCGCGCTTGCTCAAATCAGGCAAGGGAGGCGATGACAACTTCTGCAAATATGTGTGATGGTAGTACAGCGAGCGGACGTCTTGGTCATTGAACAGTCGTCGCCACATTGGGCCCGTACCGTGGGTGTGGCCTGTATCCTCTCCAGTAATCGAGAGCGGTTCGTTCTTCGAGGCCTTTAGTAGTGAGAAGAGTAGATCTTCCGCTTGTGTGGCTACTCCTGTGTCCTGAGTGCAGAGCCACAAACGAACGATGGCAGCTACGACATCAGGCCGATTCGCCAGCACCTGTGTGTCAGCGCTGCTTGCGGTTGCCTTGTGCAACAACGATAGAATCAGCCCGTGGAATGGCGTAGCCTGCAAATCCAAGGCAATCTCGAAGTCCACATCTTTGATGTCTTCGAAGCGGTAGGGAGTGGCAAGCTTGGTGATGAAGTGTACGAGAGGGGAGGGATCTTGCTGGAGCTGCGGCAATAGAGCTGCAATCTGCAGGAACAGTGGTTGTGTCTCTTTCCAAGTTTGGCCCCGGTACTCGGCCGTACTCGTGAATAGCTCGCACTGCTCAATTAGTTCTGTATTGAGCTGAGTCGTCGGTTCGCTTTCTATGATTTGTAGATGCGCTGACAGGCTGGACAACACGGGCGAAGCTGTAGTCATGATGTTCTCGAGCTGAAACAGCGTTCGACCAGCTGAAGGCGAAAGCGTGCTTTACTTCGTAAGGATGCGAACTGTGGCGGGGCAAGGCTGACAGAGCTGCCCAAGCTGCAGAAGACTCTAGCTGGGCTCAGGTGACTGCGCGCCAGCACACGTATTTACGCGTTTCCTGCGCTCTCCAGGCAATTGTAGCTCAACTGAAGGCTTCCTACAATAATGATGCAGGATTCGCGGTACGAAGCGGCGTGTCGGGCGAGGCTGTGAGTTTCCAGTGTGCGAAGCTCGTACTGTAGCTCGTAGGTAACTACGAAGGTGTCTATTGGAGGCTCGGTATCGCAAAGAAACTCAGATGAACTTCGGATAGCTGAAGAGATATGCCGCGACCAATTTGTCGTCGATTACCTATTGCAAGGCGTGGTGGCCATCTTGGAGGCGGGGAGCGATCGGCTGTGGTGCCCCACTTCAGCTGTCGGCTGCAGCTGCAGCTGCATCAAATAATTTCTGACTTTGCTACACACTCAGTACTCACCACGCTCACGACTAGGACACGCTTCCATACCGTAGACTGCTACAGTATACTCACCACCATAGCGACAAAGCTTCAGCGGTCACGTGTATTGAATCATGTCAGGGCGAGGCGGTAGAGGCGGGCGTGGCGGCGGACGCGGCGGCTTTAATCCGCGGTCAGGCACAGTAACAATTGGCGGCACCGAGCTGAACTGGGATTTATCAGGCCTTGATATTCAGAAGGGGCCCGCTGAGCGCTTTCCTGTAGGCATATCCAATACATTGCGCGCACAAATATACTTGGACCCACCGCGATGCGCCTGAAGCGCTTGACCACTACTAAGATGATGACAGGAAGCTCCTCCACCTCAAGCGCCTCCACCGACCGCCGACGAAGCCAGAATAGTGCAACACTTCCTGCAGGTGCGCGATCGTATACATGAGGGTCCTTTCTACACCATCTTGAACGATGGCATGAAGAATGGCCTCAAGAGGAAAGCCAGCGAGCCTGCGCCGACCGAGGCCTCACTGTTCAACCCATTCACAGACAATCAGACGTACTCGGCGAAGTACTTGAAAGTACGGAGAAGATTGCCGAAGCTCGATGAGCGACCGTACGGTAAGTCAGGGCACGTCCGGGTTTCTGGAAACCTGTGCTCATGAAATCCTCCCAGTCACGGAACTTTTTCCCGCGGAACTACGACCCACACTTGACGGCAAAAGAGGAGACGGCAATGCGTCAACCAAGCGAAGGACCCTGGGAGTTATCAAAGTCAACGCTGTCTCCCAGATCGAGCGCATGATCAAATTTGAGGAGGGCCGGACCAATGAAGCGGAGGCTCGTGCTGAGGAAGAAGACGACGAAGATGAAGAGGAAGAAGCAGAGCAAGATGACGACAAGCCAGACGCCATCGATGAGGAGGACAACTATTCTGCTGCATCGAGCGATTCGGAAGAGTCGGACGACGACTACAATGCCGAACAATATTTCGACAACGGCGAAGACGACGACATTGACGACGCTGATCCATACGAGAACACGTATGAATAAACGGTCGAACTGGCATATATCAAGCATTCGAATTTGGCGTTCTGACAGTGGCATCGTTGGCCTTGGTCGAATCATACCCTTTTTCCAGCTACTATCTGGTTCGTTCAGGTTAGCCTTCCCAAGCGTTTCTGCTCCTCACCATGGTTGACATTTTCCCTGGTGAAGATGCGATTCGGCACCGAACAAATGTTGTACTGCAGTCTTCCAGCATTGCTCTCTTACTACTACCTGCACTGCTAATCGTATTCCAGCCTTGCAAACGCTACCCCAGAAATTAAAACTCACCATCATCGCAAACTCAATTACAAAGGAAGTGAGCTCAGAAGTTCTTATCGCCGGCAAGATACCTGGGAATCAGAATACTGAAAGAATATCGTGCAGCTCCACGAGCTGCACTTGAGAAGTCACGCTCAACATCTCGTAAAAAACCAGCCACACACCGGGAACAGCCAGCGCGAGCTCCATCCAGCATACCATACATATTTTCAGCGACGTCTAGCACAGTTCGAAACAGCGGACTATCTCGAGACAACGTCTGACTTTCCGCCAACTAATAAGTCACTGGTCTCAATGACCCATACCAACAAACTCAGCAGGCTTCGCTGCGGCAGTCTTAAGCATATCAATCGTAGATGTTCCTACAAAGCAGGTAGAGCACAACGCTACGACGACCGCTACCTTCTCTTCACTCTCCAGGAAGGAAAGTACAAATGCAACCAGCCAGGATACGTTCATTTCGTAAAAGCTAAAACCCTGGCCGAAGGAGGCTGCGCTCTTCATGCCGTCGTAGATCTGTTCAAGCCTTTCATTGACATCCTGCCACGCCACCACCTGCTTGCATGTATGGGTTTTCACCCTAGCGAGGACCGCTGGAAGCACCACCTGAACAACACACAGATCTGGTCTACGCACAAGATTGACGCACGGATGCCAAGAAGCTGCGTAATCGTCACTGGCCTGTCGTACGAGGATGAAGAGAAACAAGACAGCGAGATGGAACGCTGGCTCTTGCAGTGGCTGCAAGATCGCAATCTCGAACCTAAGCCACAGCTCGAAAACTAGCAAAAGACCGCCTTAGTTTACGATCTAATTAATCCTACCGAGCGATACAAGTTTATCTCTAGAGTCATCAAAGAGAGGGACGAAAAGAAAGGAGACCTTAGGCGCATGTACGTTGATCAAGAAGAGTGGATGGGGAAGTGCTGTCCCGAAAGCATGTATGAGACGACTGTTGGTGAGTCGAAGGCTGAGCGGAGAAAGGCTTGCAGAGAAAGGAGGCCGTTGCTGCGGCACTGTTCCAGTGCCAGTGATGAGGAGTCAATGAACGCCTGGCTAAAGGAAAAGACTTTGAAACCCGTTCGCGAGTGGAGGGCTCAGCGGGCCTTGGCGCGCAGGGAAAGGCGGCCTTTCCTTAGACACTGTGTCGTCAGCGATGCTGAGGAGTTGTTGGACTTGGAGGATGATGATCGAAAGAGAACTTGGGAGGCTAGCATGAGTGAAGAGAGCGCAGATGATGCGGACGCAATGGTGGAGGAATCCTAAGAGGATTGCAGAGGTTGCCTGTCGAAGATCTTCCCCATGTACGACCCTGGATCAAGGCGCATCTTCTGTCGAATGAAGGACAAATGAACAGTTGGCTGCAACTAAAGCCATGTGTTCGTTTGTAGCATACAAATGAGTTGATACAGCACATTGCCAAATGTTGCAAACGCAGTGGGTCTGAGGCAGCAGCTTAATTTCAACCTCCAAATCCCACCATTTTTTCCAACATGTTCGTATTGCAAGATGCATCTTCAACGTCGAGGATACGGGCGGGGCTGAGCATGTTAGTTGGATGCCTGACGCGGTCGCATTTGCGAGCCACCACAACTTCCATCGAAGGACTGGCAGCAGCCCTCGCTTTGTTCGCCGTTTGAAAGCTTCGCAGAAAACTCGCATGACCTGACATGTCACAGATCGCAGATCTTGCATCACAGCCTTGCGCGGATCCCATAATGAGGCCCCTGCATTGTCCCGTGAACCCGTTACCGCGGGGCTTGTGAGCCGGTCGTCCTCATAAGGCAAGTCTAAGTGAACATCAGGCAAGCCAAGACGACGATATCACCACTTGTGCGAGGCTTAGACGGTTAAGCGGCTGTGCAGTTCTGTCTCTCGACCTCACTGGCGGAAGCAAGCACTCGTGATGTGAGATAATTCATTGTTAGCTGCACTCGGTCTGTGAATAACTACAGCAGGAGGCTACACTTTAGGCGGTCCAAACAGCAATTTGCAGTCCTACCCCACCGAACACCCTGGGTTGGATGAACGTGAATGTTGGAGCTCGAATTCTGTCCTATTTTATCACATAATGATCGTGGAAGAGCACAGGAAGATAGGCTCTGTGCCAACGGAGGCAAATTTGGCGATGAGGCGATTGGAATCAGAAGTTGCGCTGCAGAGTCAGCAGCAGGGTAAGCGCATTGTATGACAATGGACCGTTGCTGATTACGATGCAGGCGAACAAAGTTCGATGAGCAGCCTCGAACAGGATCCGCCCTCCACAACGTCAACGCCGCCAAACGAACGGGCAAAGTCACAAACAGGTCCTCGGACAGAGGTCAGACGCGTCAGTGGCAACTTCAACGCCCCCACATACATTGAGGTCGAACGACACAACGAAGCCAGCAGGCCACGGGGCTTGAGAGGGAGAATCAAAAGTTGGATGAAGAAATCGCCTCCTACAGTCGCTTGAACATTTCCTGTCATCAGCGCTCTCGATTTGCTTCAGTAAATACCCTTCGCTGTAGATGAACATGTCAATATTACCATAATGAGTCATACAGTTGCTTGTTCAGTCGCTTGTTTCGTCTCGTACTACCTTCGAAGGCGAGATCGCGATGCTGCAATCCTGGGCGGTGTCGGTATGATGTCACCTTTCCCTGCTTCTTTTCGGACCATGCGCGACTCCGCCAGTTCACCCCGCAAACAACCTCGCGTACAAGCAGCATTCCATTGCGACCGGTAGAGGCAATAATCAGCCCACCGTAATTTACGGCCTCGTCAGACCTTGAGTACGATGCTGCAACAGGAACAAATCATTCCCACATGCGGACAGATATTCAAAGCGCGGCACGCTCTGAACGACGGCAATGACGTCCGAAGATAACACATGTCTCAGCAGCACTTCCCGCCCCATTTGTTCAGGTACGGGCAGCCTTTTGGACGCGACGATGCCGTTTCTGCTGTGACGTGGTAATAACTCCGGCCAACGTCGCCAACCAATAAAGCCTACGTCGCAAGGAAAGAACTTCTGAAGGCCTACCAAGACTATTTTTGCACTCCCTCCGCGGTATCCTGCTTTGAAAACGTTCCACATCGAACTCGTGACCTTAGAGTGGAGCCAAAACATCATAATGGATCATTACCCTGAAGTTAACGTCGAGGTCCAAGAGCACCCTTCAAGCGACTCTCGCCACGACTCTGCATCTTCCGTCGCCAAAGCTGCAGACTTCCACTCACCTCCATCACTTGTCCAAAGCCGACAACCATCACACATCATGTCTTCGACTACAGCTCTGTCGAATCCTGCAACACAACAACGTACATCATCAAATCCTATGACATCAGATGCGACCGCGCAACAACCTGAGCAGCAGACCGAACAACAAGGACGAGATGACTTAACGCACACCGATGAAGAGACCGCCGAGAAGCTCAAGGCTGATTTCGCTCGCTATGCGGACGCACCGCCTCTGTACTCAGAGGAGCAGTACATAGACAAGACCGAGGAACAGCAGCTCAGCATGCGGACGCATGACTATGCGAAGGAGCTCAGCAGGATGATGAGCCGTCAGCTCATGGGCGGCCTGAGGACGCATGACGTGGAGGATAAATGAATTTCAAGTTCAAGAACCAGGACGAAGAGCGCGTCAACCCGTTCATTCGAGTACAGCTGGAGGTCTTCAACGGGCCCCGGACCAACAGGCTGGCCCTGCATGACGTGAGCACTTGGGCAAGAAATGGTGTTATCGTTGGGCGCAAGAATCCAGTGCGAGCTGGTGTGCGCCTTTACTGACCGAGTTGAATCGATACCAATATGAAGATGTCCACACTCTTCAAACCTTCTCTTCTTTTGTTCCTTTTCTTTGTCCTGACGCCCAATACCAACTTTTGAAGGTGTGGCCCATTTATGATCGCCGCATAAGCCGCATCAGACAAGGCGCATTCGTCAACTTGTCGACACAGCTGCTGACGCACACCACTTTCCGAACGCCTCGTCACAACACCAAATTCGCATCCATCTTCTCAGCTACTGTGCGCATTTGCATTCGCGACCTCTGTCACGACTTGTACGCCTTGCAGAACATATTACTGCACCTTTGCACCACACAAACGACGACAATCGACAAGGCATCATTACCACGTCCGTTCGCGAACCAATCGCATGGCGTCAACAAGTACGAAGATGATGGACCACATGAGCATTTGCGCGCAAGGTAAAGACCCACTAGACCATCCCTTCATGAATTACTGCGCGCTCTCGTTTTGCAATTGCGTCAACTTGTAAGTAACCTTCCGAACATAGACACGAACAGTCCAGTTGTGAAGTACAAACCGCGAAAGATCAACAGGATTCTACACCCACGAAGCTCGAAGAGCGATTTTCCTGAACATGCAGGACGCCAGGACCTGGACGCGAAAAAAGCAAGGCAGAACGCGCGCGAGACAGAAGATGCAAGCAAACAAAGCTGGGAGTCAAGGCGCAGCCAAGAGCAAAAAAGCGATACAGGTCGAAGAAGCAGCGAAGCAAGTTTGTGAGGAAGATCGTGGCTGAGTTTTCGGAGGTGGGTCGGTATTGCGGGTGCATGCTAGCGAGCGAGTCATGAGTACGACTTCAACGAATAGACGATATAGGTCGGTAATATCTAATTGGCAATGTATTGCCTGAAAGTCTGTTGTGCGTAATGTAGCGACACTGGTCACTAAAGTGATCCTCATCGCACGGAGGTCTTAGAAGCGCAGGCGCATTCAACGGTTGCCCAATTCAGCCGCCTCGCTCATGGCGAACCCTCGCTGCCCCTGCTTCTGCGACGCATCTTCACCTTCGACCTTCAACACCCCGCATCGTCGTACAAGCAGCCACGCAAGCATACGACGTAGTAGGAATCAGCGTCTAAACATAGTAGAGATAAACTAAGTAGGTATTGACGCTGTCCTGTGGTTCAGCGGTTTGGCGGCATGGCGCAGCCCGGGTCCGGGCGGCCTGAGACCGAGCACAACGTGCCGGACAGATGACGCGGACCACGTACGTGGATTGGGTCCGCAATTCATGAAACGAAACATGCGGAGGCAGGAAGCTTAAGAGCAAGGAAAGCCCGCTGAACCCTGACAGCTTCCGATCAACACGCAAAACTGAGCTCTACTGGCAAACTATCAATCACCATTGCCGCGCCGCTGGACCACTTATACGAGGTACGAACAAGGCCCACCACGCCACACTTTGAAGTATGTCAAGTGTCTAACGTTGCATGCCAGAAGTCTGTAAAACTTGCGCAATCATATCTCCGCCAGATCCGGTCTAAACAGACCGACGACATCCATAAGAATGGACTCCCCAACGTCATCTGTAGCTTCATCTCCGACTTCATCGCCAACATCGCAAGCCTTCAGTGTCTTCCCTTTCCCACCAGTGCCTGACCACATTATTGTCACCTTCGACGGCAAGGTGCGTGAGATGGTGCGGATAGAAAAGGAGCCCGTCGAGACGCACCAGCCACGCCTAAAGCCACGCCGATACTACTCCAGGGACTGAGCGGGAACAACGACTACTGTATCACAAGGATTGTACCGGAAATACTATGCATATAATGAAGCATCATCGCTGTTGTGCTTTACCACACAGCTCAAAAGGAGTTGGGGACTGAGATATTTTGGGAAGCGCTCTAATGCATTTACACGGCTTGCAATACATGGAATACACTGTCTATATTACTACTACCACAGAAAGAGCTATCTTACATCTGTTCGTCTCATCACTCGATCGGCAGATATTACAAACAGTCCTTCAGGCAAACCCAGTCTCCGTTTGCTCCTTTCTTATCACCCCGATTCGGACGTTGTTTGTCTTCATGCTCGTCACTTCCATAGAACAGAAGTATGTCCACCACTCCACCCATCTCATCATCGATCAACACCATCATCCGATTCGCCTCGTTCATCAAGCGTGTCAGATCGTCTGTCGCCAGCGGATCATGCTTGATGTATCCCACAAGGAAGGCATAGATTCATTGCTTCAACGTGTGCATGCCGACAAGACCTTGTACTCGCCTACAGAGTCTTTGAAGAGGTGTGAGTTCTCCTGGATGCTGTCAAATGCATCCTCATCGTCGGTGACAAAGATCTTGAGGTTATTAATGTCGCCGAAATCGGACTTCGCGCCTGGTGTGTCGAGCAACTCGAAGTCTGGTGGACAGGCATGCTCGCCCGACTCATACGTCTGACTGGAACGAGCGAACGTGTTGCGACGGTGGTTACGGATGAACTTTATTGCGGACACGAAGACCTGGTCGTAATGTTTGATCTGCACCTTTGGAACGGATATAACTCTGTTCACCTTCGGAACGAGCCTGCCCTTCTTTGACGGAAGTAGTGCTATGCTCAGAAGGGCGGGATATCGCGACTGTTCCAGAGCCAGCTCGATGGCTGCGGAAGCACAGTTTGTTCGCCGCTCAGCCTCGACTTCGAAGGGGTGCTTGAGCTCCCATGTCTGTTCGTACTGGGATAAGATATTAAGAATACCTAGGAAGTCTTGTAACTACAAGCGCACAGAATGCCAACCAGTGCGAATAGCTCCATACGACTTGCCCCAGACACTTGGTCCCGGATGGAGTCGTGGTCCGCCGGCTTTGTCCTGTGCCACCCTGATGGCGTGGAGGAAAGACAAGTGGGCGGTAACTTCGCAGACGGGACACAGTTCAGCGAGCGTTGGGACGGACGAACAGTAGACGTGCCCACAGTCAGAAGTGGTGTGAGACTTATGGCGGCACGGAGTAGAGGGTGGAGAAGGGAGAATAGAATAGGCTGATAATGGTAGAGTACGGCTGATGAGCGCATCGCGATACTTGATAAAGCGAAAGTACTCTAATGCATCGCGCACTTGGCCAATCTCAGAGCCTAGAGCACGCTCCTTCTGCCACTTGATGTAGAACGAGAAATCTTTTTGTAGAATCAGGCTTGCTCAAATTGAGGTAGAAGTGGCCATGGTAAGGTGGAGTTGAATGTTGTCTGGGTGTGATAGTGATGATCCCCATGTGGTACACTGCATATATTGCTGCAGGACTTCTTCTTCGTGCGGTGAAAGCATTACACGTATCGCTATCGCAACCACGTGTTCACTGCGAAAATGATAAGTAGTGAAATAACCGAGAAGATTCAAAACACGACGAAACAATTCTTGAACGTATTGGATGAGAAGATCATTCGTGAAACGGGACAGGAGACGAAGAACAAATCTTTGCTGAGGAAGGTAAAATGCAGCATCTTGCAGTCCAAAGTTCACTATTGCAATATGGGCATAAGCGTGAACAGGCGTTCTTCAAATGGCCGTCGCCACAATCTCCAGTTCCGAAGTCCAGGACTTCCCTTTCGAGGCATGACTACCATCTCCTCCGTTCTCGCCTGGTGTGCATAATACCACATCCTGAAATACTCCATTACAAGTACCAACCAGTAGCCAATGTGCGTGTAACAGCTCCTCCTTTGAAACCGCTCCATTTTCCAGACCTGCGCGAACGGCAGCTTTGATCTCATTCCAAAAGCGATGTTCACATGCTGGACCCTCGCTCTCAATGCTGTATGCATCGATCCAAGAGCGTTCCAAGTGGAATGGCGACAAGTTGATGCATACTCTGAGTTGCTCCAGGGTGTATAGAACGTCACCCGCAAAAGAGGTGTCTGACCATCCTTCCGGATGCTGTGCTGCGTGCGCACCAGGATCGTACTCTTCATCAGACCGCTTCCATTCTTCTGTGGGTCGACCGGGCTTGAAGCTCACTGGTGATTGCGACCTGCGTGGGTGGGCTTGAACTTCATCCGGGACAGACTCGTCTCTCGCAACGGTGGTGGTGGGAGCGAATCGAATCCTCCTTCTTGACAGCCGTAACTTAGAAGTGAGGAGTGGCTCATGGAATCTCGGTGCCTTGTTCCAGGACTGTGGTCCCAGTATGCCGACGACTGGGTACCTGGTCATGGTTCGAGCAACTACCACTGCATTGGCAGCAGCTTGCACGCCATCTGCTGCGATGTCGGAGTTCATTTGCTGGGCCTCCCATAGAGCTTCATTATCAGCCTCCTCTTCGAGAGTCGTAGTAAGCTGGGCTAGCTCGAGCCGAAATCGTGTCCATGTCCTCCTCAATTGTTGATATAGCTGGATGTTTTCGGGGTCCAGAAAAGGTTTCCAAGGGCCGCCGATCCGGTCCCATACGTCTGTAACAAGCCACAATGCCTTCAGGTAGGTAATGACAATGCAGACAGGACAGTATTCGCACTCGTCTGACGTGGAAGGATGCAGTACATGACCGCAAGTCACTGCGACTCGTCGACCACTCGCATCCACTGGATCGAAGGATCTCGGATCTTCATCAATGCAAAAGTTGACGTAGTCCGCTGCGTATTCGATGAGTCCTAAGGTTTCGTCCGTCTCGCCGCACCCGAGTTGCCAATCCATGTATGCGCCGGCTAAGTCGTCATCGCCGAGAAGGGTGATCGGAAGAGCTGTTGTCTTCGGCATTTCAAGAAGATGCCCGTGAGAAAGTCGAATGAATTGTGTGATGTAGAGATGTCAGATTTAAAAATGCGCAAACATGTAGATATTCCTTTGCGGCAGCCTCTGGCTTCCGGTGCTTTCACTCTGGATTCGATGTGCCCTAATTTATTCCTACCCAGGAGTGAATGTCAGTACACTCCAGCCGTTCATATAGACGACATGATCGCTGCTTGAATATATCTAGAATCGATTCCTGATGATATAGCGGAGGTGTTGATGCGTGTTGCAGGAAAGGCAGGGACAGAAGCAGTGTTGTTCAACTGCCAAAAGACCTGGGCAACTCCGACTCAGCCCAGTCAACGACACCAAAGGAGGAAGGCACGAGCGCAGGCAGTCTTACCATATGTCTTACCAGAAATACCACGAGTGACGCAACTCAGCATCGTTGCAGCCTTCTCCTCGCTCGACGGCCTGGTTCCTTGCCCTTGGCCTGCACAATCTTACCTTCTCGATTGACTACCTTCGCCTCGAAATGGTCGCTTGTCGCATCAACTCGTTGAGCCTCATAATGCACATTACCTTCCTCTAAGCTAGCAGCAGTCGCAGCAGCCTTCACGGCGGCGTTTGTGCGGTCTGCACCACACATGTAAATGTGTGTATTACAGAAAAGCGTGCTGATGTTTTCGATATTTAATCTTACACACTGAGACTGATCGTAAAACCGAATGTTGTCACTCAAGGGGTCTAGACGTTCGCGGAAGGGTATATCATCTGCTGAGTATATCCCACAATGGACCTCGGAGTTGTAGTGCGCCCCCGGTAATACTCGAAGACCAACCTTCTCTTCCAAACCAACATGGGCAGCCATGGCAGCGCTGACCAGACAGGCGTGCAGAAGCAAGAATGCCGCTTACTACAATATGCGGCTACTGTGACAGTGACTCCAGACACACAGACTGCCATCAGAGGAGCGACAAGGAAGTGCGTGTCTTGGTGTCAGAGGTAGGACCACAATGAGGTCAAAAAGAATTCGTCCAGAGTCCAACATACATGACATGAAGCGGCATAGGAAGCTGAACAGGCTCAGCGTGTTTGTAATGCGTGCAGTCCGCATCATACAGGTTTGCTCTCCAATCCGTTGCATCTAGAACTGTGAGGTTCACCGCGTCGTCTGCCATCTGATGCGACGCAAGTGAGGATTCGTGCGAACTCAATGTCCAGATTATCAAAGTACGATTGACAATAATCGCTCCGCGAGAAAGCATTGGCGAGAAAATTTGAACGTATACTGAGTCTGAAAAGCCATGACAATCGATGAAGCTAAGGAACGGCAATGATTTGCGAGCTGGCGCTAGGTAAAGCCAATCAGATGAAATTGCGCAAGCCCCACACCTCCCTTCGCGCGCTACTTTCGCGTCCACCGCCTCAGGTACTTCATCGCTTTTCAAAGACCATGCTACATCTAATCGCGGACATCGCTGTGAAATTAGACATTGGATGCTGCTGAGGTTGTTCCGCGCATTCTTGGTGTGCCTCCGCTCTGCCCCATTCGGCTAATCGACGTGCACGTGAGCTTATCAGCCCAGAAGATCATGTAACTACTCCGTACGAACATAAGATGAGGGGAAGGGCGGGTCAGCTCAACGAGGAGCACTCTGCCTTTTGCGATTGCTGACTACAACATGAACGGTACCATCTTCGAAAACCATAGTGAACACCCGATTGCAATCGTTGGCGGTGGTCTGGGCGGTCTTGCTTTGGCTATTGGTCTGCTCAAGCACGGAATACGTGTTCATATCTACGAGTCTACGGAGGCTTTTTCCGAGATCGGTGCAGGTGTCGCCTTTGGTATTAACTCGATTACGGCACTACACAAAATCGACCCAAACCTGCTCGAAGGCTACAAGAAGCATGCCACCTTCAACGCTGATGACGATCGTGCCAGCACATTCATGTCTTACCGTTGGGGCATGGATGGGAGGAAACATGGACACAGAGCAGGAGATATGATGTGGAACCTTAACGACAAATGGCGACCCGAGCGGGCACATGCTCTGGGTGTGAAGACAAGAAGTTGCATTCACAGGGCACGGCTGCTGGACGAGCTGGTGGCGCTATTACCCGCGAACATCACAAGCTTCAAGAAGAACTTCGTCACCGCTGAAGAGCAGAATGACGGATCGCTCGAGCTGCATTTTGCAGACGGCACAACTGCTGTGGCAAGCGCAATCATAGGATGTGATGGGATCAAGAGCAAGGTACGACAGCTCGTATGCGGCCCAGACCTACAAGCAACGTACGCTGGCGAAGTAGCCTATCGGGCCATGGTACCCAGAGCCGATGCTGAGAAAGCACTCGGAGCCGACCTTGCGCTCAACGGTACCATATACTGCGGATATGGCGGATACATCGTCACATACCCCGTCGAAAACTATGACTTCGTCAATATGGTCGCCATACCACACGATGTAGGCGAGACATGGTCTTGGAGCCAGGATGAGTGGACCGTGCCAGCAACCTCCGATGAGATCCGTCAGCGCTTTGAGGGATGGTACAAACCGCTCATTGACATCATATGTGAACACAGTTTGCCATGCAAGTGGGCTTTGTTTGACTTGCAGCATAATGCACCTTACTGCAAGGGGAACATGTGTCTACTCGGCGACAGTGCCCACGCAACTACACCACATCTCGGCGCAGGCGCGGGCATGGCAATGGAAGACGCGTATTTACTCAGCAGTCTGATCGCTTCGATCGACAGCATCGTGCAGATTGGAAATGCATTTCGAGCATACGACGCTGTAAGACGACCGCGTACGCAAGGTTGTATCGAGAGAAGCCGCAATGCATCGATAGCGATGGATTTTCTGACACCAGAAATCGCTGATGATACAATTGCGCTGAAGCAGATGATGGAGATCTCTTACGAGTGGCTATGGCACGAGGATCTCGAACTGCAGCTTTGCGAAGCAAAGAAGCTTCTCTAGACCATCGGATGCGTCAAACTCGTAAAGCTTGCACATAAAACTGCTCGTCCAATAGACCGATGCTCGGACTATAATGTCCGGTCTTAAGCCTACTACGCCGCTGACAAACATGCACTGATCACGTCCTTCCTCTTTGAACACTAGTCCAGACGTTAGAAGTCGCAGGACAATTCCATGCTGACCTGCCGAAATCGTCGGCTGGTTGATTAGAAACTATTGGAGGTTATATATAGTTTGAGCCTCAGGTGTCCATCTGCTCTGCATCATCGCTGAGCTTTGTTCTTCCTGCAGAATACCCATCGCCAACATGCCCGACTTACCCCTCTTCAAGCCTCTCAAGGCCGGTTCCACTGAGCCGAAGATCCGCGTTACTATGGCAGACTTACCTGCACATGGTTGAGTCCCGTCTCCGGGAGCACCGACGCTGAGGGTCATGAGTCCCTGAAGCCCCTGTATTCCTCGTACACACCGCGACTCTTTCTACAATTCCAAGAGTGAGAAGGGATACATCGACTGGCCCTTTAGCGAGGAGTTCAAGATGCATGCGACTTTTAAAGACACATTTATGACTTGCATGAGCATGGCGTTTAGAATTGGGAAACACGCACTGCATGAGCGATTACATAAGAGCTTGGAGTGGAGGATAGACCCAAGACAGATTTTCATGGCACAGAGTCCCGGAGTGAATACACTCGATTTTATCATATCATCCACTTCGACTTTGCATATGCAATCATCAAAAGTTGTCTTTCGATGGGGTCAAAATTCAAAAGGGCAACAACGGGCAAAGTTCCAATAACGCTACTGTATGCTATTCGCTTAGCGTGCGGCTAGGTAGCTCTACCTAGTACCGGTACGGTAAGCATCGGCTCGGGACTGGCAGCGCGTCCTCCCTTCATACACCACCTTGCGCACTCGTCACCAGGCTCACTGCTAGGCGCACTGCATCCAGTCACTTCCCTAGCGCATGAGGACTATATTCGGGGTGGTGCTGGGCCAGAACGGGTGAACGGTCAACATGTGGCGCGAGGCTGAGCAGGCCGACCCATGGGGGCTGCACATACCTGCATCGCCCAGTCGATGCGTCCAATCGCAATAGGCTCAGCTTTCTCTTCCAGGCCAATCATGAGAAGGTGTGCTCTCCAGTCCATGTGTCTGCATAGCTGCTGCGCCTGTAGAGTCCTTCAGCCTGGTGGGTCCTCCACGCTTACACGAGGTCAAATATGCCTGGACTCCTCCAAAGTGGAGTCTTATCTGCAATCTCAACCAACTTCTTGGAAACGCTTGTTATTAGGGCTGATCCGAAATGTCTAGACCAGAGCAGAAGGAGTATCCGTTCGGTCAAACCTCGTATATCGCCACGTTTGACGATGGTATGAAGTCTCTCCTTGCAAATGCCAGCGAGGGCTGACACCCAAACAGGGCAACTTGCCAGACATGAACTCAAAGAGAGCGAGCCATCTTGGCGATCTGAAAGCTACGCGAAGGATTCCAGCTTGCGCATCCTAGACCATCATCAAGGGGTTGGAACTATCCGGACATGCAACAATCGTGAGCTTGACGAAGTTTTGGTATGCCTCTTGAATACGAGTGTCAAAACATTGCTGACCAGCTTGTCAGGCTGGGCCGCCAAGGCAGCTTCGAATCTTTCTGCTTCTGCCAACTGTGCACGAAAGGATCGCAGAAGACCTCTTCGAGCAAGCAAAAAAGGCACACATCCAAAATGGCATGACAGAAGCGGAGGCTGCTTTCGAAGTGTCGAAGGCAGCTGCTATGCTGAAGAAGAACGAACTATACGACAAGGCCATTGTGGACCCTGCCGATCCACAGGACCCTGAGATGCGGAGAGAGGATCGTATGAACATCTCAAGAGATGCACTTCTGAAGATCATCACTAAATATGATATCGCGCCTGGGACGTGCTCACACATACGAGGCCAAGAGCAGATTTTTGGCTCCCGTACAACCAAGAACAAGAACAACGAGGTTACAGCTGTGGGTAAGTAATGACAGTTTGTCGTGTAGCTGGAGGCTGACTACGTTCAGAGTTCTGGTACGCTATACGTGCCAGAGCCTACTTCCGAGATATCGACAAAGATGCCGACCTCAAGATGACAGTAGTCACCAAGTACGACGTCGCAACGAAGTCGACGGTTGTGTTGCTGAAGTACAGATCGTTCAACGATCTGGCGACGAAGCTGAAAGTTGATCTTGTTTCAAAGCTGGAGGAACTCATCCAACAACCAGAAACCCAAGACATCGCCCACAATCCTTTTGCTGTGTCTCTGCTACACTTTAACTGTACGGCCCAATGGTACAGGCGTGCAGCAAGAGATCCAAGAGATAGTGTCAGAGACGAAGAGGAAAAGGCACACGTTCTTTCCAAACAACAGAAGAACGAATTAAAAGCCATCAATGTTCGACGCCTGCATCTGACCATGCGCAATCTCGACCAGGACAAACTGCAGCTCAATCAAACCATCGGTACTATCAAAAGTCTCCGCAAGCAACATGAGTCGTTCCAGAAATACGTCATGAAAAAGCTAGCCCTAGAAGATCGAGATTGGTTGTATCTGCGAGTTGACGAGGAGATGGACCGTTTGGACGATCAACTCCGATACCTGAGGGCCTCTATCGAGGATGTTTGCGGTCGAGCACAGAGACTGCTGGATCTGGTAAGTGAACGATCTTTGCTGACTTAAAAGACACGTCTGACCCATGCTCTTAGCTTTTCAATCTCGTGGGACAGCAAAGTGCTCGCTGGAGTGAGAAAGTTGGCACGCAGGCCATGCACGAGAGTGCCAACATGAGAGCCATTGCAATAGTGTCAATGCTGTTCCTACCTGGAACCTTCATTTCGGTAAGATCGTATCTTACATCATGGGCGTTCTTTAACGTCTCGTAGGGTATCTTGGGAACGAATCTTTTTAGTCAAGAAGAGAACAAGTCATCCGGTCCGGACGACCTCGACGATTCGCCATTTCGCGCAGCACGTCAATGGTGGATCCTACTGGTCACAATCTTCCCGCTTACCTTCGTAACTTTCCTAGGTTGGTGGGTCTGGCGAAGGCGATCGGAAGCCAAGATCAAGGGTAGCATCATGGAGGAAGACGAGAAAGACATGAAGATGCAGGAGCTCAAAAATATCAGCAAGATGCAACGAAAGGGTAGCCTGGCGACTATAGGTAGTAGTCTGGCGAACTTCAACAACTCGTGGTTCCGTCGTTTTGGGAATGGGGAGACATATGAGATGGGTAGATTACCAAAATAAGTCTAGCGTCGCAAGGGCTAGACAAGCCCTGGAGTCAGCCTTGTCGGCATCTTCGTGGCTCTAACGCACGTCAGTCCTTCCACTTTCCCCGCGCAGTTCATGTCACACGTGTGTCCTATCTCTGCATCGACGATCTGTATTCGCTTTCGTGTCTGACCTTTTGAAGCACGACATCGTATGGCGTTAGGGTGCTCATGTCTGGGCGTTCATAGACAAACAGCCGCCCGTGTTGTTTTAAATCGACGATCTTCCAATAACGATTAGTACCATTAGCAGCGACGATGGCCAAATTCAACTTCCCACCACTAGATGCTGGGCCACCTTCACGTCGCAACTGGTATCAAGAGCTTCTTGATGACCCTCAATGTCGCGGTGACCCAGTCAGTGACGTCAGCTAGTACACAAGTCCTCGCCAGCTGACAATCTCCAGAAACGAGTTCAAGAGGCATACGAAACCCATAGAGATGCATGGAGGGCAAAGCAAATCGAACTATTTTCCCACGGCGAGACAAACCCTGTCATATCTGATCAAACCCTTCTCAAGCACTTGGCTCGCCAAAAGAGGCTTCGAAACGGCCATCAACATGATGAGAATGATGACACAGATTCCCAGGAGATCAACTGCTGTGTCATTTGGGCAAGACCTCCTCAACACGTCCTCAACCAGATACAGACCGTCCAAGCAGATCTTCAGCGACTTGTTAGCGATGACCTATACCTCATACCAGAGAAGGACCTACACCTCTCAGTGATCGAGCTGTCGCATCGCCATACCGTACCACAGCTTCGTAGTGTCGCTGATGAGATCGGATCAGCACGTATCCAGAAGATCCTCGGCCTCGTCTCGACACTGGACACCAAGCCTGGATTAGTAGCACCGACCATTAGCTTTGACAAGATGGGCATCGCAGTGAATTTTCTCCCAACCGATGTCAGTTCGTACACATACCATCATCTGAGAAGCGACATGCATGCTCAAGCACTGGAGAGTGGGATCGATATCGATATGTGCTACACTGCTCCTTCTGCGCACATCACAATCGGAAGATTCATCGGAAACAAGTTCTTCGAGATAGTGGAAACGCGGAAGAAGTTTGTTCAGCTGGTCCAAGACTTCAACAGCGTGGCAGTAGCGGAGAAAGATGGCTGGGTTGTTGGTGAGAGTCAAGGCCTTGAGATGCAACTTGGATATCTGAAGTTCGGTAGAGAGAGCAGTAAGGCGGATTTGGTAGGTAAAATATGACAGGACCAATCCAGCTTTCGAGAAATACTAAGCCCCTGTGGTCCATGTGGGGGTGTGTAGCTCCTTTGATCAGTAGGAAAGGTAACGCCAGTACCAAGTGAATCGAAAGACCTCATGCAACGCCCTTCACTCATACTTCACGGTGAAGAGTCGCAGTGGTAGCGCTTGGCCCACGTGAACAGTCCCCGTATTAGACCCTGTTGTGTCTAAAGACGCAAACACCGCGTATTTTGCCTGAGCACCCACACACTCGCAACTGCCATGAAAGCCTCAGCCTCAACGTCCATCGACAACCCCACATCAGTAGGCTTGACAGCCGACTCGATCGAGGACTACTACGACACGCTCACTCGAGAGGGCATGCATCGTACAGGCATAGACGATCTCGGAAGGTACGCAGCTCTAGCCGAAAACGACGATGGCGAAGAGATGCAAGAGAAGGGTCCCAACGTTCGCAATGAAGGTACATGACCGTGATTATCATGGAGACGGAGCCAACCTAGCAGAACCAACCTCTGCTATTATTGACAACGCTAGACTTGCACCCGGCGACGCTGTCGCGGCTAAGATGCATCTCAAAGCTGCCTTCCATGCTCTCTAAGAGCACAAGAAAGACGACTTTGTCCGCGACGTCACGTTGCTCGCAAGACTTCGTGAGATATCCGTCATCATTTCAATAGTCCTCTTGCCTGCTCTCCTGCTATTATCGGATCTGCTGGTTTTTGTGCTGGCGGTATCGTCGCATGTATGTACGGTTGTCGAAAATGTGTGTAATTATTAAATTGACACAACCTAGGGAGTACAGCTGCGGGTATCCAGGCAGGAATCGGCAATGTTCTAGTGGGTTTGGCATTTGCAGTTCTGACTAGCGCATGAATGGGGTGCTGGGCTGGCTCTTGTCATGGGTCTAAGCGCGTGCGTGCCAGCCGCTGTGATCAGCGGGATTGCAATCTGGAAGTGGTGGAGAGGCAAGAGAAACGGCGACAAAAAGAAGATGGAGTGACGCCAAACACTGCAGCTGCACCGTCCCTCCCCTCTGGCCCCTCAATCTTCATTCTCGGATTGGTCAACCTCATCAAAAGCCTAACTCTTCCCCTATTAAGCGTATCCTTCGCATGCTCTAGTAAGGTTCCGTCTATACATCGTCATCTCCGTACTTGTGCTTTACAGCGCATGGGAATCCACCGAAGTCAGCTTTCGACGAGCGAGTAATCATGCTAGTGTTCTGAAGAAGCAGGTCATTGGCTGTACCAATGTTCTTTCCCTTTGCTGCTTGCGGACGCTCCGATCAGTAATCAAAATTTGATCAGCACCAAGGCTCGTCCGCCACCTTGGTATTTCCAATGAGTCTGTTCAATGTTACGGACGAAAGAGCGGGGCACTAGATGATCGCCTCGCGAGAAATATGCGATCCAGGCTTGAAGTTCAGGAATACATAAAGTCGGGAAGCTGGACATGTGCATCCTCGTACGCGCAGGTCGACTTCCATCCTGACGAACAGTCATCTTTCCAGAATTAGTGGATTCTCATAAACCGTCAGTATGGCATCTTCGAAGCAATCAGTTTTGATCACAGGGTAAGCGAAACCCGGATGCGTTGGTAGGGGGCTTGAATACTAAGGGGTTCAACAGATGTAGCAAAGGAAGCGCTGGACACGCATTAGCACTAGAGTTTGCGTCCCGGGGCATGCGTGTTTTCGCGACAGCTCGGTCATTGGGGTCCTTGGCCGGATTGGAAGACAAAGGCATCGAGACCTTGATGCTGGATGTTACGAGCGCTGACAGCATCGCTGCACTTAAGGTTGACGTCGCCGCGCGTACGGGAGGCAAATTGGATATGCTGTTCAACAATGCAGGAATGAGTGAGAGCTTTCACGCCTCCATGTTTGAAGACTTTGCTGATTCGACGAAGTGTACGAAGCACCCGGTATCGAGACAGACATCAGCCGGGTCCGACAGATGTTCGAGACCAACGTCTTTGGTCTCTTCAATATGGTCCAGGCATTCACACCACTGCTCCTGGCCGCCGTGTCAGATTCGTCCCGACCACCAGTTGTCATCAATACCGCATCGGTGCTTGCAGTTGTGCCATACCCGTTCTCATCAGCGTACAACGCAAGCAAGGCTGCGGTCGCGTCGTACTCGGATGCGCTGCGAGTCGAGCTAGCGCCCCTTGGCATCAAGGTAGTGACGCTGTATATGGGTGTTGTGTCGACCGGTCTCTCCAGTCCAGGAGATATCAAGTTCGACGAGGACAGCATCTATGCGGCGGCTGAAGCTGGAGTGAAGAAGAGAAGCAAGGATCATCAGGCTGGTGGAATGAAACCTGACTTATTCGCGAAACAAGTCATCAACGAGGTTCTGAAGAAGCGTGGGATAGCACAGGGTGAGTACGTCTGGAAAGGAACGAACGCATTCCTGGTCTGGTTGCTGAACGCTGTGGGCGGACGGAAGAGTTTTGACGGCTCAAACGCTAAAGAGATTAGCTTTGACGAGAAGGTCAAGCAAGCCATTTCTGAAAGAGGCCACGCATTTGTGCAGAAGCGTTGATGTCTTGGTGCTATCCGTAGTTTGATAATGCTAAAACTTCGCGGCAATGCTGACGTTCCAGAAATACAATTGGGACTCAGCGACCCTAGAATAGCCTCCACGCAAGACTAACTCATTCAACAGATGTCGCTATGCACTGGTGGGGCGGACCATGTCATGGTCGGTCGACCAGCGATGCTGTAATTTCTTTGAAACACGGGCTTTTTTTGTCATAGCCGGTTCCTCGTGATCAAGTTTGTAGTGAATTGTCTCGATTTCCCTATCAGGCCTGTGCCACTCACTCCTCAGGCGACCTGTGGCTGGGCATGAATGAAGACGCGTATGGTCGTGTGCATTCCTACGCCAGCTGCAGTGAGTGGGGTGAAAAAGGTTCAATACTGCCCCGCATGACGAAGATCCATGTGGATTGAGGGAAGACACGTTTTGATCTTCGATGTGGAATCGACATAGATGCATTTCACTTTTACACAACGCCAAATCTATATGCTCGCTTCAACGGGATATCAAACAGTAGGCCTAGTGCCTTGAAAACTTTCTCTCCTGCCCCAATTCCTCGGCTGCCTCTTCAAGAAAGCTCCTACAGCGCCGAGATACCCCTCGTGCCTGATGAAGTACGCTTGCTTGCTGTTCTTCGACCAGAAGCGAATGGCATATGACAATGTGTTCATCGTCTGGGCGTGCCCACCGATGAAAGACCCACCAAAGTAGATGCGCTCCAGGCCGTGTTTCTCGGCATGTAGGTATGCGATTTGGCCGATGTTGTTCGACACAGCGTACAGCAGCGACCTTGAGATGTCCTCGGGTGCAAAACCGCTGGGCGAGTGCTGCATCTCTGACGAACCTTCGACATGCTCTTCCTCTCCTCTCCGTTTGAAGTCGCCGTTGCAGCCGTCCTCAGCTTCTCGCTCTGCTGCGCGCTTCTTCTTGTACACCTTGCCGAACGAGGACGCGATGTGTGTGCTCTTCAGGCCGATCTTGTTGTACGCTTGCCCGTAGATGTCACCGACGAGCAAATCGACGGTCGAGTTGTCGCCCTTCTCTGCAAGGCGCAGCATGTCGTCAAAGCTTCGCGCACCCGTGAGCATCGACAGCAGTCCCCATAGTGTACCGCCCCCCAGTGATGTGCCGCCGATTCGCTCGAACACTTGAGGCCCTGACACCTTGACCATTGACACACCGGAGCCAATGTTGACGAGCAGGTAGGGGTAGATGTTCGGTGGGTCGGGCGGGTGCGCAACGAACTCCATGGGCTGGTCTTCGCTGTATGTGAAGACTTCGTTGGGGATCTCGTTGATGAAGAAGTCCAGACCTGTTGTCGTCAATATTGCGCACATGCGGCTTGCTGCGGGGTGCTTGCCTGTAATCAGACTCTCCATCTCGTCTTCCCGGATGACTTCAACACCTAGCGCCTCTGTGATCTTGTCGTAGTACTTGTATGCACCGCCGCCGGTCGCCATGACGCAGATGTCGCTGGGCGCAGTGCCGTTGTCGCAGTGGTCAGAGACCAGCTTGCGCATGAAGTCTATGCATGTGTCTATTCGGTCGGTCTCGAACTTGAGGAAGTTCAGCCGGCCGCCGAGGGAGTCGTCACCATGTTCGCGGGAGAAATAGACGAGCTTTGCCAGAGAGCCTCCGATCTGCGCGCAATTGTTAGCACTGTGCCCAGGGCTGCAGGAGGATTGTCGCGTGCCCCGTAGATCCGAGCACGCGACACCAGATACACTCACGTCAACTGCTATATGGCTCACGACCGCTGTATGGTTTGGCAATCGGATGTCCTTGGGGTCGTGCTCGTAGTCTTCGCTCTGCGGCGTTCCGGGCTGTTCCTCGTCGACGATAAACGCGCCCTGCACGTTGATCTTCACGGTTCCGGGGTGCAATATCGTCTCATGGATGTCGCTCTGCGCAGTCGTCCGCCTAGGCCGCGTCGATATGTTGCCTGACAACGAATGCGCATGGCGAGCACGGGATGCGGCGCTGCCGGTTTCTCCTGTCGCGAGGTTCTGCGCTGGCGACATGGATGCGGGTGCAGCTAGTCTCGGCTGCAGCCTTGCCCTCTTTCTTCGATGGCGCACGCTTTGCGATCCTTTCGCGGTGAACTGGTAAGAGGAGTGGTGCGGAGAATGATGACTCGTCACCAAGGGAAGACTTGTCCGGGTGGGTAGCGATAACCCTTCCATCTGTCCGCTTTGTAACTGGTGTGAACGGCCCGGGCTAGGGGTGATATGGTGTTCTGCGCAGAATACAGCCCAAGGAGGTCAACAAAAAATTGTGAGAAACTGTTGATCGCCTGGCTGCAGCGACTTCAAGGAATATATCCTCGCATTTTTTTCGGCGCAATGGACGCTGTAGCATGAGCTGCTACCCGAGAACCACGCAGCTGCTAAGCTCGGCAACATGGTCGACGGTGAACTGGAGGAGCCGAGGACTATGGGGACTGATTGTGGGGTTTGATCTGATTAGATCAGCCGAAGAGTTCCGCGCTGCGTCGGGTACCGGTATCGAAGAAGCACAATTCCCTGAAGTTGTTTCAAGTGAATTAATGGAGGTCGAAAATTTGAAAAGACTCGCGAACTGTGGCACGCTCGATGCTGTGTCCTTCGAGACTGCGCACGTGCTGTGGCTGCCATTTTGTCTGCTGCACTACGTCATGACAGCTTTTTGCGAGAACGCGCCCTGAGGCTAATGCAATATCTCAAACGATTGAACAACTCCAATCTACATTTGCTTTACTTAACAGCACGTCCCCGGCGAGCCCTTGCTGCAAGACACGTTCCGGGCTGTCGATGACGTCGTGTGCTCGTCAATTCCTTCGTGCATCCAGACCTCGCCCTGCATATCACCACGAACACACACTTGACAAAGGTCACGCTGCCATTCCCAGAACAACGCTCAAGGCGGCCATACAGACTTTCCGATATTTTGCCAGATACCGGACCGTGCCTATTTCAGCAAAACTAAACCTACTCACAGCCCGCACACCTTGCAACAGATTCCCACACACTATCAGACTACAACAATCACCTTTTAGACCCTTCTCCACATCGACCGCCAACATGTCGTGGATGGACTCCTGGTCACGTCCGTCAAAGTCACAACCCACCCCTCCCCCACTTTATCTCACCATCGGCGACTCAGTACCGTACTGCCACTCATGCGGCCGCGTGATTGGTGACCGGAAGAAGACGTCTGGTGCAACAGAAGTCAAGTACTGCTCTGCACGCTGCAGACATCAAAAGCCCGGGCCTCTAGACCGCAAGATCGAATCCACCTTTGCCAAACTGCTCGCGGGCGCGACCCCCGAATCTATCAAGGAAGAGCATGAACGCGCCAAAATCGAGAAAGCCGAGGGCAAAGACACTGACCGGAAATCCCTGGAGAAGGAGAATCAGAAGAATAACAATAGCACAGCCTCCGAGGACGAAAACCTCAAGTTCGGCAAGAAGAACAGCAAAGCCTCCCACAAGAAGAAAACCTCTAAGGCCAAAAACACGCCTAAAGGCGACCACAGACTGATAATCGACTGCACGGCCGTCGAAGAACTCGTCTTCAACCGCGAAAAGGACCCGGAGAAAGTCTACGGACGGCGAAAGAACCGGCGCGCACGATACGTCGTCGAGAAGCCCGAGGACTGGAAGAGCGTCGACATGGTCGACAAGCCCGCCGCCCAGCATCCAGCTGCAGCAGGACACGACACGGCGTCGAGCGCAGAGGACTACAGCGACTCGGAGCCCGAAGAGGGCGGCATTGCGCTCGAGAACAGACCTGCAACAGACCTCGATGGTAAAGAGCTGGGTGACACCGTCGAATACGGATTCGGCGGCGGCAAGATTCGACCGCCACAGGACCAGTCCGATATCAACGGCTCGATTGGCGGAGAGAAGGGGTGGGCGGAGCGGCAGCACGAGACGGAGGAGGCGAAGCAGCGACGTCTCGAGGGGCAGCGGCGCGCGGATGAGAGGGAGATGGTGCGCAAGGCGGCGCGGCGGGGCTGCGCTTTTGGCTTCGTAGTTGATGGGGACGAGGGCGTGAGGGGCGGCGACAAGGGCGAGAGGCGCAAGTGCGAGGCCGTCATGAAGGGCGCGGTTGTGGAGTCGAGTTTTGCAAAGGGCGATTGGGCCGTGCGGTGGAGGGAGAAGATCTGACGTGTTGAACGAGGGACGAAGCTAGCGAGTGTGCAGAAGATGTGCAAGACGATAGGTCAACGCGAGGCATAACGACAGGTATCAATAACACAGAGTCCTCCAAAATGCACATCCCGTCTCTCTGCCTCTGCCTCTTACAAAGAAGCCAAACGCCACCTACCACGTAAACCCCGCCTCGATCAACTTCCTCCCCTCTTTCGATACCGCAGTAACAATCCTCTCAAACCCCGTCCTCAGGCCGGTCCCGGATCTACCAACGTCAGCAACTCCAAGCCGCACACTTAGAGGGGTAAATGAAACGTACTTGATCATATTAACCGCCATAGTCCTCGCCTTATCCTTGAGATTGACCTGGGTAAACTCCTCCAGCTCGCCGTAGCCCTCGGCGCCTTTGTCGTACAGGAGTATGTTCCTCCAGCTCGGCCCCACGACTTCCATGTAGAAGATAAACGCGTCTTCTTGCTCGCTCGTCCACGTGCGCCGGGGCTGCCGCACGCTGCCCGCGCCGCCGATGCGACTGTTCTGCAGACTGAGGACGTGTTGGGCCGGGTATTGAGAGCTGGGCGGCGCGCAAGACGTGGAGCGCCGGGGGGGAGGATCGGTCGTGTCGCGGGCTTCGGGTTCGGAGCGGGATTCTTCATGCTCGATGGCGCGGGCGGTGGGCGCCGAGGACGCGGGGGCGCGTTGGTGGCTAGGGGAAAGGCGGAGTTGGGCGTCTGCGGGTTGGGAGGCTCGCTCGGGTTGGTGGGAGGGCGGTGCGGGCGCGGAAGAGGGTGGCTCGACGCGGCGTCTCTTCGAGACGGGTGCTTTCTGGCGGCGCTCTTGCACAAGGGACGTTCGATCACTAGTCTCATACGCTTCGTCGTCGTCATCGACGTCGTCGTCCTCTGATTCTGCTCGCCGGCGTTTCTTGGGCACGGAAGGAGGCGGCTCGGCGCGCTGCTTGCCCTTGTCGAGCACTCTGGTTGAGGGGCCGGGCGTGCCCTGGCTGGAGTCGAAGCCGCTACCGAAGTCGACGCGTTGAGCTGTAGCTTGTCGATCAACGAATCGAGGGGCTTTGCGATTCTCCTTGCCCGCGGGTTGAACAGACTTCAAAGCGGCGAGGATCTCTTGTGTGCTTTTTGGCGGACCTGAAGGAGCGACGTTATTGATGTCTAGGGACTCGTCGTCTCCAGCTACAAGCGTTGCCTCTCCTGCTTGTTGGTCGTCCCCGCCAAGTGTTTGGTCCCAGGTCGTGCGCTCAGTTTGAGCGATCTGCTCGCTCAACTCGCGCTCAGCGTCTGCATCTTCGGGGGCGGCCTCAGCCTCAACTTCTTCCTCTACTGCTTCCTCTACTGCTTCCTCTTCTTGGGCCACTTCTACAAACACGTCACCAGATTGTGGGTCTTTGGGATCGAAATGTACCCCGGAGTCTCTTTCCCTTGCCTTCAGGGCGTCGATTACGCCAAGGTCTACAGGCGCGTTGGGATCAAACTTGCGGCTGCTACGTCTCCGTTGTCGTCCAAACGACGCCCGCTTCTTTCGTGGGGAATCTCGGGGGGCGGTCGAGGGTCTGGCTCCTGCGGGGACTGGTTGGAGCGCTGCTACGGCTTGCCTGATATTCGCCAGTATTGCTGCAGAGCCACCAACCATATCGATCGAGGCGCTGAGTTCGTTGCGTCGAGCGCGGACCCAATCCAGTAGACAAAGGATCGTCGCCTTCCACGGGAACTCGCTACCCAGACGATCCAAGTCCACCACGTGTCCGTCTTGGAGAGACTGACCGTCGAAGGGGAAGTATGCTCTTATTGTATTGTAGTGTTCTGCGATTCTCTTTTGATGGTCCTCTGTGAGGCGAGACTCTTCTCCACCAAGCGCTGCCACACTCCAACCACGGAGAATGTCCCCACCTTCTTGCTCTTGAAGAAAAATACCATCCAGAGCCTCGTCAGGATTGAACCCATCGTCACCTGCAGAACGCTCCAAGGAAAGAATGGTGACCTGAATACGCAGATCCAATGCCAGTTTGAAAGTCCCTTCCAGCAGAGCGCTATCCCCGGCAGCTGTTGGCGAGCCGTTGGAGCGTAGCGAGCGCATAAACTGGCTAGGGAATGAGGAATCTAACAGTCGCAGATGGTTCCAGACGTCTTTGTCGCTGCGGTCAGAGTGGATCATCTGTTTCGCAAAGACCAGAATGTTGGCCAAGTAAAGCACAAGATTAACACCCGAATCTACGCCTCCAGCGTCAGTGTAAGAACCAAACAAAGCGCGATGGATCGCTCGAGGGTTTATGTAGTTGCTCTCGTCGCCCTTGAAGTGTTTCAAGTGCAGCCTGAACTCTTCATCAAAGTCCGAGTATTCTTCTGCAAACTCTGAGCCTGGTTTGAGCATCTCGGTGATGTTGTACAAGTCTTCTTCCATCGATCCACCCCTGGGTGCGAGATGATCAAGAAACTCCATCGCCGAGTCGCACAATTTGCGGACGTGCTTCTGGATGAATTTTGGCTCCAAGAACTCTGCTTCAATCATGGAGAATGACGAGATGGCGGTGGTACCGGACATCTCGGAGACTGCGCCAGGTGATCGAAATGTTTGCTGCTCCAACGGCAGTGGAATGTCGACACGCTGGGGCGTCGCAGGTGCCTCGTCAAGATGAATTTCGGTGCCGACCTCCTCAACGATTGTAAGCTCTGGAGTGGTTGCATCAGCAATTGTATGTCGGTCGTGCGATGCTGTTCTTGGTAGCGCAGTCGTTGGCTGACGTTTTAGGGTAAGGGTTCTAGGGTAAGCACCAACCTCCCACTGCCTGTTTGGCAGGCCTTCGATTATTGCGCTTTTTCAGTCCCTCATTTTCGCTCTCACTAGCGACACTGGCAACGCTCCGTTGGCGCGCAGTTCGTCGTGTTGGTTTTTGGACCTCAGGGATTGGCTCGATGTCGCGACTTTGGCTGCGCAGCCGTCGCGCGCGTACAGGCGCCTTCTCCGGTCGCGGGGTGGGTGTTTTGCGCCTGCTGCCGGCACGCACGCCCCGGACATCACCTGCCATGATGAAGTGGTCAAGACGGGCACAAACTCGCCAATCGCGCGCCCTGATATCCGTTGAATGATGGATGATGCCGTTCCGCACGTTTGTTGTGATGGTGAGGTTCGCGCCGGCTGCAGGACCCGCTTTGCCGCGTACAGCCCTCGTTCTCACGTGCATCGAGGCTTGCCCGCTTACAGTCTAGCGCTCAGCCCTCACGGATGCTCGTGTCCGAGCAAGGAGAAGGGGGCGACATGCAGGAGAACGTTGAGCAGTATATGCAAGTGACGTGTTTTGGAATTCACGGAGTTGCAGCGCGCCGGCGTCTGACAGGCTCGATCTGCTGCCGCTTTTGACAGCACCCTGTTCCAATCTAGCGCGCTGCCGCACGCACGACCCCCTTGCGTGCATCTGTGGCGGTGGAGTGGCCTCTCCTAAAGTTCAACTGTTCAACAGCAGCCACATTTCCGAACCACACCCAAGCACGCCCTGAGTGCTGAGCACACGCCTGCCGCCGTCTTGTGCCGCTCCCCTTTCACGACACTCCCTCGACCACTTTGCCTCATAGATTCTTTAATACTCCCATTGCCGCTGCTTACACGTCCACATTTGGCACTATGAAGCTGCGACAGACGCTCATTCTCCTGCCGGCGCTGCAGGTGCTTGCCCGATCCACAGTGGCCGATGTCGATGGCAGACGGCTCCTCGTCAAGCGGGCAGTAGACCCTGCCTACAGCAATCCTATCCCCGACCCCTCGCCCGCCGCGGCCGCGCCAGGCGCATTCAAGGGGACGAAAGATGCGCCCGTCGACGGCTTCGACGGCAAGCCGCACGCCGGCCCGTACGTCGACGACACGCCCACATCGCACGACAAGCAGCCCGCGGTAGTCGAGGACCTGGGCACCGGCCAGAAGACGGTTCCGGGGTCCAAGGACTCGACCCTGGTCGGCGCGGCCAAGGACGTGCTGGATGGCGACAAGAGCGTCATGCAGGACCCAGACAGGAAGGCTGCGACAGGCAAGACGGGCGTCGAGGGCGGCGTCTCGGCAAAGGACAAGGAGCGTCTGGCGCACGAGGACAAGACGGGCTCGAAGAAGGAGCAGGTGCCCACGCCGCCCAAGGAAGCCCAGCCGCTGCCTCACGGCGAGCAGTCGCATCTAAAGGACGCGGCAGCTGCCGAAACGACATCCACCCGTCTTGCCGGCGCAGTCGGCCTCGAGGTAAGCCGTGTGCTGTGACACGCACGCCGTACACGCCGTTGACCATACTGCAGAAACCCACCGACCTGCCAGACGCACCCCACGACGACGCGCCCCACCCCGTCCCCGACTCGCTCTCCAAGTCAGACCCCCTCGACACCACGCCCCCAAAGACCAAGACCCCCACGTCCGGCATGGCCGACGACGAGGCCGGTGGCGTCATCCAGCCCTTGCACTCGTTCATCCTGTCCTTCACCATGATCATCTTCTCGGAGATTGGAGACAAGACGTTCCTCGTAGCCGCCTTGATGGCCATGCGCCACCCCCGCCTTGTGGTCTTCTCCGCCGCCTTCTCTGCTCTCGCTGTCATGACAGTTCTCTCTGCTGTGCTCGGTCACGCTGTACCGGCCTTCCTGTCTGAGCGCTTCACGCATCTGGCTGCTGCGATTCTGTTCCTCGTCTTCGGTGTCAAGCTGCTGCGCGAGGGCCTCGCCATGAGCCCTGATGATGGCGTGGGCGAGGAGATGCGCGAGGTCGAGGAGGAGCTTGAGGAGAAGGAGCAGCTTGCGCGTTCCAAGGGTCGCCGTCGCTCGTCCATCTCGCCTTATGCGCTCGAGTCTGGCCGTGCACGACGCTCTCGCTCCGGCTCCAGGCTGCCCGCACCCGCTCGCAGCCCCTCTACCTCCCCCGACCGATCGCCCTCTCCCCGCGGCTCCTCCTTCGCTGGTGCTCTGAGCGGGATCAACAACCTTTTCTCGCTGCTTCTCAGCCCCGCCTGGGTGCAGACTTTCGTCATGACCTTCCTTGGAGAGTGGGGCGACCGCAGTCAGATTGCTACCGTGGCTATGGCTGCAGGTTCTGACTACTGGTGGGTCACTGCCGGTGCCACTGTTGGACACGGCATTTGCACTGCAGGTGCGGTCATTGGCGGTCGCGCCATTGCTGGCAAGATCAGCATGCGTAACAGTAAGCAAGCATCCGAACCTTCACCGAAATCCAACCTAACTTCCTCTAGTCACGCTTGGCGGCGCAATTGCCTTCCTCTTCTTCGGCATCATTTACGCTTTCGAGACATACTACCACGAGTAAAGGAACGACGACACCTCACGGACTTGCATTGCACGGCGCTTGGGCCTTCCTGGACTGATCTATTGTAATACGACATGCGCGCACGTGTCGACATGTTGGCATTTTCTTGTATCACTACTGTAAGGGCGGTCCACTATAAAACGACTCTAGACGGGTCACAGGAGTTGCATAGGTTGTATGACACAGATTCGGAGCACACGGTGTCTTCTGCGCCCAGACGCGAGGGTAAACATCTCGCAGCGAAATTCGCTTGTTGAACGTCTCTGAGACTTGGCTTGCCTTCCGGTATTTGTACGAGACTTGGTCTCACGTTGCGTGGTTTGACATGTTTGAAACATTTAGATCTATTTTCAATGATCACGTGGTCTCGGGATCTAGACCTCGCTACTGGACCCGCATAGCAAGCAACGTCTTTCTTTGTCCCGCCGCCCTAACCTTCGACTCCGGGTCCGCGTTTTGACTGTCAGATTCTGGGCATGAAGGCGCAGCGAAGGACCCCAATCACTGCCTATCATGCTGCACTTCTAGTTCACTCGCTACATGCACAGTTGTCAATGATCAATGAAGTGGGCCCAGCGACCTCAAATTGATTTGATTGACTAGCTGTTCGAGCCTAGCAGTTGTCTGCATAGGTTCGATTCCTACCTTGTTGGGTAAGCGCGTGAATGTGAGGTCGAAATTGGCTTGATTGATGACAAGGCTGACTGCGTGGAAGGGACAGATGTGTTGCGCGCAGATGGTCGCGGCTTGCTCACCATCGTACGCTCCAGAGGGCACACCTTGTCACGGCAAGACTTTGATGGCGACTAACAACCGGCTGACATCTTCGAACATACGATCTTCGCTACCTCTACGAAGCGCCACAATGCTATAGAAGCCACGGCTATCAGACCTGCCGCCCTGTCTAGGAAGGATGAGGTTCTAGAATAGCAACGTTCTGGTTTCTCAACAAGTCCCATCATTTCTTTGGTTCGCTTCGCCAGCCACGTTGTGTGGCTAGCGGTAGAGGACAAAGAAACCATCTTGGACCTACTCTTTCGAGAAACGTGCCTTCTCCTTTCGGATCCCGAGCTTGCCCTCCTCCTCAGCCTCGTGGAATAAGCTTTGTGGCGCCCGCCGAACCCTCGCTAAACAGCCATCACATACGGAAAGTCTGGGGTATCTAGATGCTCGCCAAGATGAGTACACGGCGAGATTGTGAGCTGGAGCAGCCTGAAAGTTCGTGTAGTAAGATGTGTGTGTGTTATAAGCAGAAGATTGCAGCCTCGGAGGAAACGCATGTCACGTTCATTCACTCTCATCAAGTCAGCCGTTCACACCACTCATTCATACCGATCATTACAGCATGAAGCTATCACTAATAGTTGTCGCTGGCCTCGGCGCCCTTACTGTTTTTGAGTGCACATATGCCTACCCAGGAATGGGTGCCACAGTAGACGAGGTCAAGCAAAGGATACAAGGGAGGCAGCAACTTTCCGGGCATCAAAGACTAGCATCGAACGCCCGACGCCAGACAACCAAGGTCCCAGATCCCAACGATACGCAAGACCCCAACGCGGTTGAAGATGTGGCCGATGCAGCACCTAAGCTGATTGGAGACATCAAAGATGGCGGTACAACCGCTGTCGGCAAAGCAATCGCTCGGATCATCACCGAGCAAGAAACAGGCCAAAGCAGTGTCGGCGGATACCAGATTCCTGGCTCGCTTGGCACGTTCAAGTGCAAAGCAGATACCTGCTGCGTCTGGGCACATATCTCTCTCCAGCTCACAAACATCTTCCGCGGCCAATCTGGCCGCTGCAAAAAGTACGCTCGCGCCGCCATCCGGCTCGGCTTCCACGACGCCGGAACGTGGAAAGATGGTCTTGACTTTGGTGGTGCGGACGGCAGTATCATTCTCGCCAAGGAAGAGATCTCTCGCCCCGACAACAAAGGTCTACAAGACATCGTCCGCGTCCTCGGCAACATGTACAGGCAGACATTCAAACAATACGGCATCGGCGTAGCAGACCTCATCCAATTCGCTGCCAAACACGCCGTCGTCAGTGCGTATCTTTACCGCCCCGAATCTAAGCCCGGGTCTAACACAACGCAGCATGCCCGCTCGGTCCGCGCATCCGCACTTTCGTCGGCCGCAAAGACTCCTCCAGAGCGAACATGGACGGCCTGCTCCCCGGCGTCAACGACTCGGCAGACACCCTCATCGCGCTCTTCGCGGCCAAAACAATCGGCCCCCACGAGCTCACCGCGCTGCTGGGCGCGCACACAGCGAGTCAGCAGTTCCACGTCGACCCCTCGCGCGCCGCGGCGCCCCAGGACGGCACTCCGGGCGTTTGGGATACTCTTTTCTACAACCAGACGCTGGGCCTGGGGCCGCTGCCCAAAGCTGTCTTCCGGTTTCCGAGCGATGTTGTGCTTGCGCAGGATCCGAGGACGAGGGACGAGTGGAGGAAGTTCAGCATTGGGAGGGAGGGGCAGGAGGATTGGAATGAGGATTATGCATATAGCTATATCAGGTTGAGTTTGTTGGGGGTCAACAATATCAATCAGCTTACCGAGTGCACTAAGGTGCTGCCTATGCCGACGAAGAGCTTCAGGGGGGCGGGCGATTTGTTGATTGCGGAGTAGGTGTTGTTGTAGCTGTTGGCATTGTTTCATTGCATAGCTTGCGTAGCGTAGCATAGATACCTCGAATTTTCAGTGTGGTTGTGGCATTGTGTGTTAAGATTCGTGGATGGTGTGACGGATCACGCTGACATTTTGCATTGTCTTTGACTGCGCTCCCGTTGAGTGGTGCCAGCTTTTGCTGAGATTCTACCACTCTTCCTACGTACCGTGCAATTGCATTATCCGAAGAAAAATAGATCTCCTGGAGGGGTTCAAGACTTTCAGCGCGACCGTCCGATTCGTCCAAAGATACGCACAAGAGTGTCACTCAAACACATGGGCTATGAAAGCGGAAATTCTATATATTGACATAGCCCCCGAAGTACCGGAGCTGAATGCTTCATCTCGGTGACATGCAAGGCCCGACGGGCGTGCCTCGTTGATGCCTACTACCACATGGTACTTGAGTTACTCAAGCTCCCCGTCTACAGCTGTTCAGTACTTTTGTTGTTGCTGACCATGGGCCTTTGGTGGTCCAGGCGGACACGTCGGGTGTTCGAGGCTTCAGTGGGAATAGCGGACAACGTCTCTCTATGCCTTGACACTACTTCCTAGGTCTTCTCTTTACAAGACCGAAAACGCCCACCGTTGCCGCCGCCATAGTAGTCCCCAGCAGTATGATGAAGTTACGCCATTTCCCAGCACCGTATCCAGGCTGCACCTCCGCGTCTCCAGACTTATCGAGAACTGCTGCAGCGATATACCCAGACGCAACACCCACGACTCCCCTCGTGAATAGCAGGACTCCAGACACAAGCAGCTCCTCAGCCGGGCGCTTGCTATCATTGACAACAATAGCAGCCATATGGCTCCTCAGAACCATGAAGCTGAACGCGAACGCACCAAACAGAAGCGACACCATGACCATGGTCCAATACGCTTTGCCAAAGCCCCATACAACCAGCACTGCAAAGCTGCTTACGAGTGTACTCAATAGCATAGGTACGAGCGGACCAATTGCGTCTCTTTTCGCAATGCGTTAGCAACACTTGCTTCAATAGGGACAAAGGCCATAGACTTACGTCAGAGCACCAAATACAACCTGTCCAATGATACCCGACAGCGACAGATACGTAACCAACAATGCCGCCTTGCTAGATTCAACTCCAAGATCAGTCGCGTAGCTGGGAAGGTAGTTTGCGGGGAGATTGTTGGCGAGACTCTGGACCGCCATCGAGGCTACGAAGAGCCAGAGATAGGGATTTTTGAAAGGTCGGAGTGTCGATCTTCGTTTCTGGGTACCGTTATCACTCTGTGCGGTGCGTGATGAACGATTTGGTATGCAGGGTATGCCGATGGAGATGACGATGGCGATGAAGGCTGTCCAGCCGATGAGCGTTACGCGTGGCCCGAAGCGCTGGAGGAGATGGGCGAAGATGGGTGAGAGGGCGGCTGAGGCGATATTTGCCGAGCCGAAGCTTTACTTGTTAGATCGAGCTGCATGCTTCGCTTGGTATTTGTGAAGAGTTATGACTTACAAGATGCCGTTCGCAAGACCGCGGCGCGCGAAGAACCATTCATCGACGAAGCTGATGCAAGGCGCGAAGAGAAGGCCGCTTGAGAAACCATACATCAAACCCTGTGTCATGATGACCTGGAGAGCCTGTGTGGAGCGTCAGATAAGTAGTTGGATATGGACAAGTAATGGCAAGGCTGCTGACCGTGATAGAGAAGGCAGCGCCCAGAGAAGAAGCCACAACTAACGTCATCCCAGTCCACATCATGTATAGCCTGCAACTAGGATATTTGCCGATCAAATGCAGCAGGAAAGGTGACAGTGATTGTAAGATACCCTAGAGTTGTCAGAACTACCAGAGTGATCAAATTAGGCTAGGTGTCAGAAGAGCAAGCCTTACAACAATGAGCAGCCCAATGGAAGCCACGAGTTGATTGCCTTCAAATGGAGGATTCTTGAAGTAGTATTCGCGGAAGACACCCTGAGTGGCTCCAAACCCTGCCATACAGCCATAATCAGTCACATGTTCTAGCTCAGATCGTATAGCACTTACCCCACGTAACCATGGAAATAGCTGAGATAGCAGCTAGACATCTCCAGGCAGCTTTGCCACGGTCGCGGGGCGGGATGTTGTCTTCACTATCAATTTCTGTCCATTCAGGCGACGAATTGGGCTCCAGAATTATCGTGTTGTCGCCACCAAGCCCTTTCTTGTCGAATGCCCTCGACCCCATCGTGTGTTGTATCTGAGCTGAGAAGAGATACTGATCTCGAGGGGCAGAAGACCAGCTAGTGAGTCTTATGTCTTCTGCACCACTTAACTTCTGAATCACTGGGGTATACGGGACGCCTAATGGTCTAAGCGAGCCTAGACGTACCAATGGGCCGTTTTTTCCTGGAGCGCATCCTTCATCTAGTCACAAGACTTGGCATAAGCAGTGCGAAAAGTACAGGAACAAGCGACTCCCGAAGGGGTAAATGGTACTCGCTTGGAGAGCATGGAAGCCTTCATATATTTACTCAGGCCAATAACCACCTGGGAGGTGCCTTAGTGGTGAGGTACATAATCGATGACAGTTGAAGTCAGGCTTCCTTACCGGTCTACACTGCGAAAAGACACCATTATGATGGCGGTTGCCACCTATGCATGCGTCCTGAGCAATCGAAGCATCCCCTTTGTATGAGAATCAAACATCTAAAATTGAGTTCTAGGTGCGCCGGATATATACATACATACACACCTCCTTCTGAACCACTTCATCTACAGCATCGGCCTCTCAGCGGCCGGATCCCGTCCCCTCCTGAACTTTGCTTCGATCCTCTCCTGCCCCTTCTTCATATACCCCTCCACTTCAACATCAGTCAACTTAGTCAGCCCACCCTTTACATCCACCTCGCTCCTCTGCAACGTCTTTGCTCGAATAAATTCGCCATTCGTCTGCACACTGTCCCTAGCCTCAACAACCTCCTTACAAAACTTCGCGAACTCCTTGTAATACACCGGTGCCCCCGGATTACTCTCCAGCAACATCGCAAAGCAATGCGGCATGGCCTCGAACTCTCTCCACACCACTTTCACACCTTGACCCACCGCCCTTTGCGCAAGCACCGCATCCTCATCGCGCAGCATCTCCTGCCCCAGACTGAAAAACAGCGGTGGAGCGCCTTCCCAGGATTTGGCTGCTAGTGGCGAGACTAGAGGGTGCAGGAGCGCGCTGCCTTCGCAGTATAGATCTGCGCGAGGCGGAGAGGCGGGCCAGATGGAGCACGCGGGGAACTCGCGGTGGTCGGTTTGCGACGGCGGGGGGAGGTAGTCATACTGCGCCAGCCCCTCAATAGAGGGTAGTCCACGCGTAATGTCGAGCCAGGGGGAGGTCATTGCGAGGCCGGCCGGGAGAGGGATGTCAACGTCCTTGCCGTGGAATTTGACGGTTGGGAGAGAGTTGGGGTTGGGATTTGAGCGGTGGATTTGGAGGAGTAGTTGCAGGAGGGCGGTACAACAGGTTCCTCCTGCGCTGTCGCCGCCGAAGACGATTTCGTTCGCGGGAACGGCGGAGTGGGGCGCACCTGGCGGTGGGTGTAGCAACGAGAGGTATGCGGTGAAGCAGTCTAGCAGTGCGGCGGGGAAGGGGTTTGATGGTGCGAGTCTGTATCGCACGCTGAACACTCTACCTCCGGTCTCTTTTGCCAGGCGCGAGGTTGTTGGGCGGTAGGTAGCAGGGTCCAGGAGATACATTGCGCCGCCGTGGAAGTAAAGGAGGGTGACTCTAGACGAGACTTCTTTCATCAAGTTTGCGTATTCGGCCTTCTCGTCTCGGTCTGCGGACTGAGGCGCTTTTGGGTCTGGGGCTTGCGCGCGGTAGCCGTTCCACTCTGCCTCCAAGGGTCGGTTTTCTGGCTTGGTCCATTGCTCTTTACCCGTGCCCATGTCTTCTATCGCTTTGAAGAGCAGCTGTCGAACGTCGTCCTCCTCGGGGACGTTCAACTTCACCTTACTGACCCAAACCTTGCCCTTAATACCAGGGTCCTTCGTAGTCAAGCGTTGAATTTTTGAGATCGGTGATGGTTCCGAGTTGGGTCCGATCATGTCCCGGAGAATGTTGATTGTAAGTTCGGTCCGGAGATCCCATTTCGAAGATGTGGCGGATTGACCGATGGTGTGCCAAAGCGCTGTTTTGAGCATGAAAGGTACCTTGGGCACAAGGAGCTTCAGCATTGCTGAGGGTGTGGCGTCCATCGTGGCGGTGCGTGGCTACTCCGCGGAAGTGCACTTGCTGGCGTGGGTGGAGTTACAACGTGGACGACGAAAATGTAAGGAAATGCATACAATGCTCAATTAACTACAACCCCACAGAAAAAACAAGTAAAGGAAATAGACTGTGCAGAGCAGTAGTGATGTTGACGTCGAAAGTCGCTTGAACAGGGCGCGTGAAAGATGAGCCGAGGCTGCACAAGAGGCTATGATTGGCTGCTTAATACGGTAGGGTAGATACGGTCCGACTCGGAGATAGGCTCAGTGTTGTCCAAATGATCAGGTTAACGTCACGCAGGCTAGACAACCCGAAGAACGAGTATTTGTATGCGATAGAAAGAGGAATACGATGTGAATGGCCTGAACCCTCTCGGCCCAGGGGTATCTTTACGCTCATTCGCCTAACGCCAATCGCCGGACCCAAAATCAATAACATCACCAAAATCCTCAGAGTGAGCTGATGTGGCAAGAACGAGAGGAGTGGTGGGATCCACCACCACGACAGGTGCGACGCGCTTTGGTCTGGTCATCGATGTGCACAAGAAGTGACATAACGCTTCGCCAGTACATTGTGGGCAGACCTTTGGATCTGCCACCGCAGGAAGGAGAGGGGCCGAGCTAGAGGTGCACTCGGAGGTGCTTGCAGGCCCCGCCTAGCCGTCCAACTCGCCCTCTTCGCTACCTCTCTCTGTCGCATTGCCATTCGTGGGCTGGTTTTGACTCGAATCTTGCCCTGTCATTTGCACGCCCTCCATGCTCCTCGGTGTGTCGCCAAAGTCAAGGCCGTCGTCAGGAGTCCTAAGCCCAGAATACTTGTTCGTCTCTTCATCCTTGTCTGGTGTTCTTTCGTAAATGTCAGCCATGAGGTTGCAGGCTCGCCGGATATCGCGAAGCTTAACATGCTGGATCTCCCACCATGGCTTGTTGTCATCTTCGTCCAGAGCGACATCAGCCATGCGAGTGCCGCAGTACAGAGATGCTGCTGCGATCGTCCGTGAGTCAAACAGCAGGCACATCTGTGTGAGCGCCGAGTCGGCTAGGAATGCCCAGGCAGAATTGCGCAGCTTCTTGTTGTGCTCAACGCCGTAGTACTTCATCATGTCGTACATGGTTTTGTATGGTGATTCGACGTTCAAGTCGAAGCATAAGCTTTCCAGTACAACGTCTTCGCTGTAAAGTATGGTGTCGCGCCACTTCCAAAAGTCCTTTGTTTGTTCGTCGACAAGTTTGTTCGGATCTTTCAGGGCGACGCGTACGCACGCTACAACCAGCTCCTTCATCTTTCGACAGTTCTCTTCGACCTTGGTGGCGAGAAATAACGAGGTCGCGGCGACTTGCTAGGGTGATGTTAGACATTGCGATGAAACTGTATTCTCGCTAAGTTACTTACATAGTGATGCAGAGGTTTGTACCCAGGCTTCGCCTTCAGGCTGTTACGCATGAGGTACCGGTTGAAAAAAACAGCGGCCGTGCTGAGTGTGGTTTGTGGTAGTTTGAGCATCATGCCAACCTGCAAAATGAAGTTGACACCCTTCCGCCGTAATGTGCGTTCTTCCTCTGCTGGCATGCCATCCAGAATAGAAGGCGCCTGATCGAGCTCCTCTTCCACAAAAATCCATTGTAGTTCTGCCTCAACGACCGCCGGCGGAGGCGGTCGTGGACGCTCACGCCGCAGCTGCTGAGGCGTCTCCGCTGCTGATACCATCACCGGTGCTTTTGTGCCTTCGCAGTGCAACTATGCGATTTGCGACGCGCGATGTGATCGACAGCCTATCCGCGGCGTCTAGACAGTCGCTGCTCAGGATGCAGTCCCTAGAATACGTGCTTGGCAGCTGTACGAGCGCGATGCGCCACCGGAAGATGTTGCTTGGAGCGGGGTATTGCTGTGTGGTGTTGAAGGAATGGGCACCCAGAGTTGACGTTGTCAATGCTCTCTTCCGCGGCGATTGAGCAAGGGTCAGTTGCCAAGGCGAGGCTGACTGCAGCCTCGAAGCCCTCTTCACACATCACATTGTCGGCCTCGAACACTCAACTTCAAGTTCCAGCCGTACTGTTAGTTTGTCATCAGCCGCAGTCCACAATCAGCTACTTCGACATCATCGTCTCCTGCCGGCGACAGTCTTCTCGGGCAAATCTCTGGACATTCATTATCGTGTTCCTAGTCGCCTGCGAAACATCAGACTCGATCGCAGCCTGAGAAACATCAGACTCGATCGCAGCCTGAGAAACATCAGACTCGATCGCAGCCTGAGAAAAGTAACATGTTACAGCTCCTGCAGCTTGCTGGACGTGCGCCGTTTCGACAGCGCCAAGATCAGCCACCATTTGGCCTGGGGGCACACACGTTCAATTAACGAACATCGTAGCAGACTTGAGCCTTAGTGTGCCGTAGGCGGGCGCAGTACATCAACTTTTCTGCGAGCCATTCGATGCTTGGAAGATTGCACAGTGTCGGAAGGGGTGACATCGAGGTGATGCAGGGCGCTCGTTCTGACTTGCCGAAAGAGGAAGTCGAAGTGGCTTCTCAACGTCACGACTTCACGCGCAACCGCGTTTACGCGTCGCACTAACGTCAATCTCAGCCTCCTACCGCTCTTTCAGCTCGACTAACATCATCGGCTGCCGGCCTACGCTCCGATGCAACCAACAATCTCGATTTTGCATACGTCGGTAATCCGAATATCAATCCCGAGCGCCCCATAATGCCCCTGACGACGCTAGCCTTCGCCCATCGCGTGTTGACGTCTGCCAGAAATTCTTCGGTTCGACGGCGTTAGGGCCGCAACGATACGAGTTCAGCAGCGGTCCTTCCTCACTGTGATGGACTGATTGAAGGCTGCACGGCTGAGAATCGCCTGGCCATGTCTCTGCCGCACCAATGCAGCCATGTACTTTTCCAGCCTCGATCTGTGCGTCCATGGTGCTCAATGTAATTATCTTCAAAAGCACCGCGACAATCAGTTTCAGTGACGCAGCGCCAACCTTCACAAAACAAAGACAGCGCCGCGGCTACCGAAAAGCTCCCGCTTTAGCTTACGATCGCATCTGCTAAATCGTCATGAGCCTGCCTACCTGCGGCAGTCCCTGATACTGCACGGTCACCATGGTGCACTCGTACTTCACACATCATGTTGTCATGATCTGGATCGCCATGGGGACCATGTCAGCTGAGCTTGAGGCACTAACAACATAGCAATCGCCAAAGTCGGGACGCGTGACGTACACTTGTGACTATCAACGTACTTAGCCCGGGCTTATGATCTCTGCTACCATGTATAAAACTGACAACAGTCTCCCTCATTTTCCAATCAACTCCTCCGCTGTTAACACCACCAGACTACCATCACATCCACCTAAAAAAATACCAACATGGGTTCCGAGCAGGAGAAGGGTTACGAGAGCCGGTGCGCTTATCTCCATCCCTTTCCGTGACCGCCAAGAAACCTAAATTGACACTTATTAGCACCGGCCAGAGCGAGATTCCCGTGCTTAAGGACGACGCACCCATCGAGACGACCGAGTACAGCGACCGTGAGATCGCCGACTCTGACAAGCAGCTCGGTATGTTCCTACCTTATCCTCGCGTCTGCCTTATCACCTACTGACAAGCCACAGAGCGCGACGAGCAGGACGCGATTGATGAGAGCAACATCTTGAACGAGCGCACACGCGGTGCTTCTAAGAAGTCTGGCACCTACACCGAGCCCGGTGATGATGAGGGTCTTGAGCGCGCTGTTGAGGGTAATGATGGCACCTCTTCCGGTCGTCAGTAAGATTTCAGCACTGGGTGCTATGATTCGAGCTTCTTCTCTATATTTTTTCTCTACTTTCTTCGATGAAGCGGTCTCGCCCACGCCGCAGCATTACTCAACGTTCTACCATCTATTTCCACTTCAATCTCGATCCCTTCATGGTCCTACATTCGTTGTCAGCTCTCGAGGTGAAACTGTCCTCGATTCTGAGTCACTTGAACAACAGAGTCGAATAGGTGAATGCAAATCGTGCCCAGTCACCGGGCCACAGCGCGATGCCGCCCTCACCTCGCCTCCACGAACCGCGCACAATATAAACAAATTTTCTTCTGTTGCCAAACCCTCCACATCCACTATCAACCGCACACATATTTTTCTTCACACCTCTCAATCATCCAGTCTGCAACTTCACCACCACCACCACCTCTCCACAATGACATTCACACAAGCCCGCAAGGCCATGAACGAGGCTGTCGCGCGCCGCAAGGCTCTCGAAACGCGAGTATACATCTCTAGCCTGAGCGGCGACCACTCGCTCGAAGTAGGCCTCGCCTACTACTACCGCGGCCACTATATCTATGCGGCTCCGACGGGCAATCTGATCGAGCCCATTCCATACAGCACCCGCAAGGGGATAATGCTGCAGGGTGTTGTGGACGACGGAGCGCCCAAGTACGACGTCAACGCCGAGGAACTGAGGAGCGAGGAGGACGTCGGCGCGCTTAGCAAGAGCGTTAAGGTGGAGGCCGCGGCCAAGGAGGCCGCAGACTCTGCGACCGATAAGACGACTGTCGCCATCGAAGGCCTACAAATCTCCACCCGCGCACCCTCTCTCGCCCTGCGCCCTACGCCGCCCGCTGAGGACCTCCACAGGTCGCTCACGAGTTTCTCTGCGCTGCGCGACAGCGGGCGGAAGGCCTTCACGCCGTGCCACGGCGCGTCGTTCCTCGCTGCGTCTGCACCTGGAAGCCGTCTGGCGTCACGCTCCGCCTCTCCCTCGGGCTTGCGCCCAACTTCTCCTCAAGCCGGACTTTCTCACCTGGGACTCAGTCGAGGTCAATCCTCTCCATTCGGCGATGGTAATCTCGAAACTAATTCGCCTGTAGAAGGCGGTCCATCTCGCCCTGTTTCGACGACGGGGTACATCTTTGGTCTTGGTGACCATGCGTTGGCTGCTGAGGATTTGCCTCGCCCGATGGAGGTAAGGGTGGAGCCGTGCGCTCTCCACGGCGAAGACTGCGATGGCGTGGCTGTCGAATGGCCTTGCTTGACGGAGCGGATGAGGCAGGAACGCGGTTTCGCGGAGGAGGTGCCGGTGATCGAGCGTGCGGACAGGCAGATGGTGGACTGGGCGGGATTGTTGGAGGAGGCGAAGGTGAGTGCTGAGGGTGCAGAGTAGGGGGTTGAAGCGTTGACGACACCTTCACAACAACACCACACCCCGCCGACACTCCACCTACCATCGCACTCTCGACCGCGACAAGCGCCACAAGCGCCCTCCACACCCTGAAATATATCTGCGGACGAGGTGATGCTAGACATGCCCGCCTACGACCTCCCGGAGGAGGATGCGGTCGCAAGCGGCGTCGCCCTGGTGCCCTCCAACGGCCGTCTTGTCACAACCGACGATCTCCTAACCGGGAACCGAGAGGCCAACGAGAGGCACTTGCTTTACGAATGGTGCAGGATGATAACCACGATATATTGTGTTATATCTTAATTCTCGGGAAACAGGTGCCTCAAAATCAGCCCGTATGCCTCCGCGCCCTGCACTAGGTCTTCCTGTGCTAGCTGCTCCTCCGGCGTATGCGCAACCTCGATCGTGCCAACGCCAAACAAATACCTCTGCTCGACATTCGCCAGCAACGGAATGTCTGTTCCGTAGAACACAGGCGCCTCTTCCAGTCCAGGCACGCCAGTATCCAGGATCTGGGCTGGGTAGAACGCTTCGCTGAATGTGGCATCGAACACTCCCCCCCTCGCCTCGAACTCGGAAATAACAGGAGAAATCACGCCAGATATCATGTCGCGGACTGCTTCCACGGAGCCGTTCTCGCTGCGAGCAATCCGTATCGAGACGCCGGCTGTAGCATTGGGCGCGATGACGTTTGTGGCGAGGCCGCCGCGGATCGTTCCAACGTTCAGGGTGGAAGGGCCAAGAAGGTCACTGCGAGGCAACGCCGGCTCGAGGGTGTTCATGAGCACGATCGCCTGGGACAGGTAATTGAGTGCACTTAATCCAAGCTGCGGGTATGCGGAATGCGCAGAGCGGCCGGTAACGTTCAGTGTCAGACCAAGCACGCCCTTGTGCCCAGTCGCCAGCTTTCCTTCGGTGGGCTCGCCGAAGATTCCAGCGCGGAAGGTCGCGTTGGCGGCGTACTTTGCAAAGGCTTGCATGCCGTCTCCGCCTGTCTCTTCGCCGACAACAAATAGGAGGCCGACTGGTGGATCGTCGTCACGGGACGCTAGGAATTTCTCTGTTGCGATGAGCATAGGCGCGATTTGACCTTTGGCGTCGACGCTGCCTCGGCCGAAGTGGTACGTTGTGCCGTTCTCTTCACGCGTCTCGAAGGGAATAAACGGCGGGACCTGTCGTCTTTCTGTTAGTATGCATACTTGCTCGAAGGCTGAGAGGAGCTTACGGTGTCAATGTGGCTAGTAACCAAGACTTCGGGCCAACCGCCATTGTCTCGGATCGCCTGTGGATAGGCGAAGACATTAAATCGACCTTCAGCTCCAGCAGACACGGGCACCCTTTCAACATAATAGCCCTTCTCGCCCAGATACTCTTCAAGCCACTCCGAACATTCGATTTCATCATCCGAGATGGATGGGATGTTCACAAGATCTTCATGAAGTTGGTAAAGAGCGTCCGTCTCCTCGGTAGTCAAAGGGTCCGAGGAGGGAGCTGGCGTCGAGACTGCAATGGAAGAGGCTACCCTAACGGCAGAACCTGTTGTAGTAGCAAAAGCCTCGATGCTGCTAGCCACGCAGTACCTGTTCCATGTAAGCGTCTGGACATATAAATACATGGTATCACACTCACTCGACGCCAGCGTGGAAATGGCAGTTCCCTTCCGGCGAAGCTGAGCCTGTCGCAGCAACTCGTGCACTAGACTTCTGGGCCGACGCAGAGCTTGCCACCTGTGGTGCAGCATATACCAACGGCACAGCGAGGAGTCCAAGGATAGAATTGAGCTTCATCATAGTGTTCAGACGCGAGTTGACTCTCAAAAGGCGTGGAAAGGTAAAATCCGCAGGAGGAACACGCTTGATTTTATACTCCACAACTCCTTGCTTTATTTCAGCATCGCTCTGCATTGCCATAAACTCTGGGCAGCATCGTCATGCCGTCGGCTCGGATGCCGAGATAACTGGGAGGATCATCGCATGCTCAGCGTAGAGAAGCTTGGCTGCACCCAGTACACTTTCAAGCCTGGATGAAACCCCAAAGCCCGCTCGTATCGATCAGGACGTCAGCTACTGACTATGCTACCCGTAGTAGTCGACGATGTCGCAGGCTTGACGCTGCCATGGAATTGGGACTGTGGAATCGTACAGTGACATACAAGATGATTAGGATGGAAGAATTGCACCAAGACCGCCAAGGACTCGCTATCGTGAGTATCAGCGCGCCGTTGACGGAAAGCGGTGCAAAAGTGGGTGGCGGAGAATGTTCGGAGGATGGTGCAGCGATGACGGAGGCGGGGTTTAACGTGGTGATAGGAAGGGGCTTGGCAGCCAAGACGAAGCCATCTTCTGTGAGGAAGGTGCAGAAGTAAGACGTGTAGCTAGGAAATTCATATACCGGGTATCATAACGATGCTACAATCTCGCTATGTAGCGATGCGGTCGTACCGCTTCTTGTTCGATATGACAGACGCTGTGTGCAAGTGCGCGCTACCAGTTTTCCCCAGCCTCGCGAGATTCTACTCCCTTTGACCACAAGTACATGTCAGGAGGTCTTGAAGACACTTTTACGTCGAGCGACACTCAAGCTCCTTCTCACTCTTCCTCGCTCTCCCCTCCATCCCCCACCATCTCACACCCACAATCCCAGAGATGCCCGACAAGCTCGCCCCAATACCTCTCCCGATACGCACCCATCCACACCTCCTCCCGTCTGAGCTGCTCAAGCCCCTCAACACACCCGCGCAAATTTCTCCTCTTCTGTTCATCCGTGAGCGGGAATAACGGGAACTGCTGATAAAATGCGCGATACTGCGCTTCGTAGGCACGCCGACGAGCCAGGTCGGAGGGGCGGACTTGGTGCCCACGCCCCGTAAAGCGGTCGGGGTCGTGCTCGAAATCGCCTCCCCGGCCGTGAGTGCCGAATTTGAGGAAGGGCTGCTCTTGCCTTTGTGGCTCGTCGTAAGAGGAGGATGGCGCGGGAGAGTGCAGACTGGAGGCGCCCAGGGCATCGTGGGGGGCGGACGAGACGCCGACCGTGCGGCTAGTCTTCTCCACATACGAGCGCCTGCTGTCGCGCATCTCCAGGCATAGCGGCTGCGGCTTCGTGCTGGTCCTGTGGTCTGGGATTACCGTGCAGGCCTCCCGTGGTTGGCTCGCTTGTGCTATTGGCGCAACCGGAGCAGAAGAGGCAGTCTCGATGACTTGCGCTTCAGCAACAGTGGCGCTCATCAGAGGCGATCTGATGATCTCTGGAGAGGGGATTGAGACGACTCGCGTTTTCTTAGCACACGTTTGCTCGGTGTCTGTTGATGCGTCTGCGTTGTTGTAATTGCGCTTGTTTGGATTTTGTGCCACTCTTGCAGACTCCATTGGCATGCCATGCGAGATCTGCTTTTGTGTTGTGACGGCCTTTGGAGCAGGCGCAGCTTTCTGCTCAGAATTGGTGGTCTTTGCTGGGAGAGGCACACTCGGCTTAGCGATCATCTTGTCTTCGGCAAGTGATGCTGCTTTCTTTGGATTGGGCTTCCGTGGTGCATCAGTGTTCACCTTGTTGCTCTTCGCTTTTGGGGCTGTATTCCTAAGCCCAAGTGCCTCGAGGAGGTCTTCCTTTTTCGTTGCTACAGATAATTAGCATGTTTATCAAGAGACAGAAAGTCGACTCACAAGCTAGTTCTGTCTTCGGGTGCGGGCCCAGAGCCAGTGTCTCTGCCCTCTCGATCCACACTGCAAGTTCGCACCTGGAAGCGCTCTTCAATCTTGAAACCTGACTATGAGCGATGTTCTTGACAATCTCGAGTAAGCTCTTCTTGCCCTTCACAGCAAGGTCGCTGGCCGACCGCGCGTGCAAGCGCTTTTGTCCGAGCCTGACGAGCGGGACGCGAAGTCCGTGTCCCACGAAGTGCTTTGGGGCCATCTTGTTTGGCGCGTCTGAATTACTTGAAGGCGCCAAAATACGTTTTCGGAAATTGGAAGAAGAAGAGCGGGAAGCACTGGAGCATACAGCGCATGGCTGCTGGGTCATTTGGAAGCGGGAGTTGCTTGTTTGGGACGACATTGTTGCAAGTGTGAACATGACTGCTCAAGTGTGAACATGACTGCTCAAGTGTGAACACGACTGCTCAAGTGTGAACATGACTGCTCAAGTGAAACAAGAATGCTCGGACAGAGAAGGACGTTGTGCTGATGGACTCTGAGATGAGAATTCTACTTACACAATACCTTAACCGTAAGTGAAGAGCATATTTACCATCAGTCCTACACTTCTATTGGCCTTTAACACTGGACCTCAGGGTCTGCAGCCGAACCAGATAACAATAATGTTGGAGGGCCCTAGACAGCGATCAATGTCGTTGGAACCGTCCATTGCTGGAGTGCTCGTTGCTGTTAGTTGGTTCAGGTGTCTCGTTCCACGGAGCAGCGTAGGTACTGTAAACCATGCTTGGTCGCCGCTTGAACAGGGCCGCGTCCATCTCTTTCGAATAGACGTGAAGGATTCCAGATGAACCGAAATTTGTGGGGTTTCCAAATCTCATCAAACCGAGTCCAATGACATGATGTTGCCATGTGCGTGGGAGACATGAAGTTGGACTTCGGTTCCGTGACACGTGAGGCGAGGCACTCGCAAGCGGCGACTGCGGAAGAGTGGAAGAGCCGAGGCACGGCTGAGTCCACGCCTCCAGGTTTCGGTCATCAATTCGCGACTCTCTGTCGACCATCTATCCTTCACAGCTGCGCATGACGGCGGTACAGCGCAACAGGTAGCCAACATGGTCCGCGAGGACCTCATAACATCGGCGGTGTCCTGTAAGTTGTTGTACAATCAACACGATGCATCGACACTGACATGTCACAGTTCTCCAGGACCCGTCCGTAGCCAACGCACCGGTCGAGAAGCGCATTGCGTTCCTGCAGTCGAAGAACCTCACACAAGAAGAGATTGATGTCTCGCTCGCTCGTGCCGCGTCAGACGACCCGAGCCAGCCAGCCTCGCCGCCACCGCAGTACTCGTCACCCCCAAGCAACGCATATCGCCCACCGCCGGCAGCCCCCGGGTATGGCAGCGGCTATCCTCCACAGTACTGGCCGCAGCAGGCACCGCCAGAGTAAGCAGCCAACTCTCGAGACACCCGAGTCCCCATCTAACCGCACTGCAGACCGCCCAAGCGTGACTGGCGCGACTTCTTCATCATGGCGACCGTCATGGGCGGCGTGGGCTACGGTCTCTACTTCACGGCGAAGCGCTACATGCTGCCCATCATCTCGCCGCCCACGGCTCCGCAGCTCGAGCAGGACAAAGCCTCCATCGACGAGTCGTTCAAGCGCGCCTTCGACCTGCTCGAGCAGCTCAACACGGACACGCAGGCCCTCAAGGAGAGCGAGGAAGCGCGCACATCGCGCCTGGACAACGCGCTGGGCGAGGTCGAGTCGGTGCTCGCCAGCCTGAAAGACAGCAGCAAGCGCCAGGGCGACGACAACCGGCGCATCGAAGACGACGTCCGCGGCCTGCGCGACCTGATCCCCAAGGCGCTCGACGCGCAGAAGGAAGCCAGCGACGTCCGCCTCAAGGAGCTCTCGACCGAGCTGAAGAGCCTCAAGACGCTGGTTGGGACCCGCATGAGCGCCCCTGCGCCCGCTGCCGCGCCCCGCTCAGCATCCACATCCTACTACGGCGCGCAGACCCAGTCGCCGTCACCGTCGCCGTCCCAGGCCCAGACGCCGGCTCCGGCGGCCACAACGGGGTCCAGCACCCCCGTCCCCGCCGCAGCGCCCGAGCAGCCTGCCGCAGGCGCAACCGAGATGGCGTCCTCGACCCCGGCCATGCCCGGCGGCGCAAGCACAGGCGCCCTGAACGGGACCGCCGCGCCGCTGGCAGAGAAACCAGCGCAGTCGTGGCGCGGGACACAGGGCCGCGCAGCCATCCCCGCGTGGCAGATGGCGGCGGCGAAGAAGAGCGAGGAGAGCGCCGCGAAGAAGGATACGAGCGCGAGCGGGACCGTGGAGGCGAGCAGCTCGTAGAGCGGGCATGGGCATGGGCAGGCGAGTTTCTAACGTGCTGGGTCGAGGCGCTGGGATGCTTTGGAGTGGCACAGGGGGACGAATTGGGTCGAGAGTAGTGTCAGGACTGGAACGGAGTCGCGGTCGCGCAGAAGCTGTGAGGTCGTGGTCGAGGGGTTGCATTGGGCGTCTGGCTTTGTACATGTATTATTCAGCGATACGACGCTATGCTATGGATACACTCATCCCCTCACACGGTGAGCCGCGGACGCAGGCCCTCGACTTGTCTCGCACGCACGGCACACGTCGAGCCCGACGCTGACAAGCACATGTCTCCTAGCGACCCTCGTCTTTAACGCGTGCACTCCTCCCGCTCGCCCGCCGCCTGATGCGCTCGCGCTCTCGGTCGCGCTCACTGTCCATTCCCGTGCCCAACCCGCTATCCGTGAACACGGCCTGCGCGTCGAGCGTCCTTGGTCCCGGCGCGTCGAGCACAAAGTCGTCATCCTCGTCGTCCGCCTCTGCGTCTTCTTGGAGCGGAATATCCTCCAGCCTGCGCCCATACTCCTCTTTCTCCGTCTTGGTCTCCGGAGACCGGTAACGAAGCGGCGGCTGGCTCGAAAGCGTGGGGAACGTGCGCTCCTTGTCGCTCCACTGAGGGTCATCTGCTTCCTTCTTGATGGCGTCTCGGCCCTGCGCATCATCGTCTTCATCGTGACTGCGCGCGGGAGGGGAGCGGAACAGCATCGTCGCCAGCCCCCAGCTCAGCAGGAGCACGCCCATCTCCGTGCCCCAGAACAAGCCGACGAAGAGTACTGCGCTCCCGATGCGGTGCGTGTACATGACCCACCGCAACCCTTCCAGTTTCGCGCTGATGTGCACTTTCACCCCGTACACTTCCAGCGGCGTCCTGCTGCGCAGCTCCAGGCGCAGCGACGACGGCACGGCCGTGGGGAAGTACCTAGACTCCAGCATGCTGATGTGCATTGTTTCGCTCTCAGTGCCGAAGCCCGTCAGGTACAGCGGCAGCCGGAGGAGGCGGTGTAGATGCTCGGTTGGCCAGGAGCGGTAGGTAAGGATGGCGGGACGGCGGGAGTGGGCGAGGACTTGTGTTGCTGGCGCGCTGTCTGCGTTGGTGGCGGGTGTGCTATCGTCGTCCCAGCCGAGCATGTTCTTGATTGTGTTTGAGGACGCCGACGGCGCGCGCAGAGTCAGGTCGAGCATCCAGTTGCCTGCCCGCAGATTGGTGCGGCTCCGGGGGACGCTTATTTCGACGCTGACGTCGTACTTTTGCCGGGTCACGAGGCCTTGTACATTTGCTATGGCGTGCGGCCATTTCTGCGACTTCTGGCTGAAGGGTCGCTCAGAATTGAGATCTAGAATGCTGGGCGCGGCCCCGTGGTCGAATTGGAGGTACACGGGCACTGAGATGCCGCGGATGGGGATGTACGAGTAGTAGAAGGACGTGTATGCGATGACGGCAAAGGCGAAGAGAACGGTTGAGGTTATGAGGAGTAGGAGCGTGCGCAGGTATGTCCGGAGAAGCGGCGGAGAGGTTGCAACGCGGACAGGGAAGAGGAGCGCGTCCTGCGACTGTCAGTATTCGCAAGGCTCATGCGCGTGCGTCGCGCCAACAGTAACTCGAACGATAGTAGGATGACTTGCTGTAGCCGTCTGGACCAGCGACCGTTCCTCGCCATGCGCCTCTTTGGAGTCGTTCATGGTCGACGCCTTCATGTTGTGGGGTGTGTTCACAGAACGTCGCGCATCACATGGAAATCACCCAGGAGTGACGTCGGTGTTCGACCTCGGAAGCACTGGGCACGCGCTAATCTATGCAGGCGCCTTCTCTACCACATCTCGCGCCAACTGCAGCCCTGCAGGGAGGAGGGCGGGGGGCTTGTGCATCTGCTGATCATCTCAATCGAAGACAACTTGGCGCTCTGTCATCATTCGCGTGGTGACTCACAAGGCTTTGAACAGTGAATGTGCGAAACGCAGTTTTATTTGCTACAAAAAGACACTACCATCAGCTAATGATCCTACACGGAAAGCAGCAGCCCTCAGTCAGCCTAAACTCCAAACGAAGGAAAGCCCAAGCAACCTACGACCTGACGCCGGAAGTGATCCCTCAACCTCTAATCCCGCAGCCTGCCTGGCCGCAGATCTGAACGCCAGAGGAAGCAAACCCGTCAGATCGCCGAAAAAATGTGGTATCATCCAGAACATATTGTCTACCCCGAAAGATGACAGCGAAGTGCACCGAAACCGGAATGGCGGCAGAGAGCGGATGCCTGGAACCGAAGGCTACATGTAAGGAAATTAAAGGAAAATAAGCAACTCGCAGCAACAAAGAAATGACCTCTCCCAACTTTTGATCGAGACCGTCTTGGGGAGACAGTGCCGATGAACTTTTGGTAGATATGCAAATGCATCGGTCCGTGGCGACAACAAAGCTGGAGTAGCAGAATGTCAAACAGCCGTGGGCATCGTAACGTCGTTAGGGCGTCTACTGAAAGACGCCCACACATCCTCCGTAGATCCTCATCGTTCTTTTCCTGCCTCCTCTACGGTCCATGTTGAGTGTAATTAGATTACGTGTGTGGTGTAATTCACCTAAGAAAAGGTGCCCATCCTTGGTGGTGGGCGGCGGGGCGCAGCCATCGAGCCCTGCGTCTTGTTGATGAGCGGCGAGCTTTGCGAGATGGAGGCCATTGGAGACTTTGCAATCCTGTTCGACTTGGATCGCTTGCGGAGGGGTGTGATGAGAGCATCAGCAGACTTGCCAGATCGAACGGGACGGTTGACAGCGTTGCGAGCTGTGGGGTCTGAAGGCAGCGAGGCGACATCGCGGTAGCGATTTTGATTGTTGCGGAAGGCGGTAACAACTCCGCGATCGAAGTGCTCGAGCATGACGTCCGATGTAGTCCTCTTACGGTTGCCAGAAGTCGCCTCAACCGGGGTCGCCTCAACAGATCTTCCGCCATTGGTTTGAGAGGCACCTGGCGTTGTTGGTGCATCAGTCTCTTCACCGTCGTCTTCCATGTCGCTGTTGTCGGAATCATCGCCAAAGTCCATGAAGTCGTCGATCCTGAGTTCGTCCTCGTAATCTTCAGACTCGTAGTCTTCATCGTCGTAAGCCTCGAGGTTTCCGTTTGCGCCGAGACTAACAAAGGGGTAGAAAGCCTCGGGAGGGCCAACATTGTCGTTGCTGAAGTAGAAGTCGCCATTGCCGGGGGCGGATCCAAATATACCTGTGAGCATGATGTCAGTGGTGCTGAGTGCGTTGTTCATAGCCTCAGCTTCGCTATCAGAGACGTTGGCGAACTGGGCGAGTGAAGCTCGAGGGCTGTTGTTAGCGGTGCTGCTGGTGCTGCTGTGGGTACCGTTGATAGGGATCCATGGAATCTGCTGGACGCGTGGGCGGTAGAAGGTAACTGTCTTTGTGGCCCTATTGGTGATGGCTATAGCTGCATTCGACTCCTTATGGACGAAGACGCCTCGCATCGGAGGAATCTGACGACCTGTGGGTCGGTTGCTTCGTGCGAATGGCTTGGGCGTCCCTGCCCTGGAGCCTGGGGTCGACTGTGGTTGCCGTAGCACAGACTTCTTTGACACTGGGGTCTGCGGAGGAACGTCGGAGCCAAAGTCTTCCTCATCAGTGGTGTCACCCTCGTCGGCTGCGATGGTTTGTTAGTGACAGGGATAAATCTGATGCAGGTCAATATCATACTCTCGTAGCCGCTAGAGCCGGCGGACGACTCGTCATCAGAGTCATCCGCCTGGGTAATGCGTCCTTCATCGTGATTGAAGTCCCAGTAGGAAGCATCAGACATGGGAGAGCCTACATCGTCGCCGTCGTCCTCGTTCTCATCCGCCAGCAGCTGCGTCAAGATGGGTGGCAGTTTGTCCTGTTCAAGGAACAGATCGGGGAACATGTTGCTATCAAGCTCTGAAGACTCGGACTCGGAATCCTCTGATACTTGAACCTCGTCGTCGAAGCGGACACGCTTCGTTGAGCTGTCTGAGTACTTTCTCTTGGCAGCTGGGTCAGGGGATGCAGGTACCGCCTCTGGTTCGAAGAACTGAGCGAAACCATAGTCACCGAGACCGGTCATGTACGACTCGCCCAGAGGTGCAGTGACACTAAAGATGTCATCGCTGGCAGAGCTCTCGAGGCTGAGTCGGCGAGCATCACGAAACTGATTGAGTAGGGCGGTTGCCTGTTGCTCCTGCTCTCGTGCAATGAAATTCTCTTCTTGCTGCTCCATAGTCTCCATGTCGAAGTCATCGTCATCAGGAATCAAATTGACTCCGCTGTAATCTTCATCATCGCTGTCAATGGCGTGCTCATTTGTATCACTCTGGTAGGTTAGAATCGGTTTGGGACCCATGTTGCTGAGCTTCCTCGCCATCTTACGCCTGGGAAATACTTCGTGATCGGGTGCTTCATCTCCGAAGAGGACCGATGTGCTTGAAAGGTTGCTGAAAGTACGCTTCTTGTTTTGCATCAACAGTTGGTTCACTGGATGCTTGCTGGGAATGAGTCCGGTGCCGTTCGAGGAAGTCTCATCATCGTCCTTGTCGGTCTCGTCGTCGTCAACCGGGTCGATGCGAATGGCAGGTCCTTTGCCCTTGCCCTTTCCTTTGCCACGACCGCGGTACGCTGAGAGCGGAATATCGTCATCGGTCTCGTCGTCGTCTTGGAGAGTGACACTGTCTCCCTCCTCATCTTCGTCTGAAGCTTCTTCTGTGGTTGTTTGTCCGTCACCGCGGCCTTCAGTGGTGTGAAGACTCTTCGGTGCAGCGTCCGAGCTCGGGACTCGCTGCGTGCTGTACCGGTGCTGAGCGGTAGCGTCGGGCGCAAGCTTGTGGTTTTGAAGATGCTTTCCACCAAGCTCGCCTGTAACGGTTCGAGGGTTCGCGATGTGTGCCATTGTGGGGCAGGAGTGCTTTCAACAGGCGTCGTTCAAGGAGCAGATGGGGGGGTCGGTGGGTCGGTGGAAGGGTCGGATGAGGTGGGGTGAAAAAGGTTGGTAGAATCCAAGGGAAAAGCGGGTGACGATGTCGAGTATGGTGTATCAGGGTGCAAGGCTCTTTAACTATGTAGAGTCTTTGCGGGTTCGTCGATGTTCGAGGGTTGAGCCGGCAGAACTGACAAATGCGGTATGTGTTCAGTGCAGGCCGGACGATTAGCAATGGATTGAGACGGCTGCGAGCAGTTCGTGCTTCACGCAGTCGTAGGTTGTATCGTTCGTTGAGGTTGAAGTATCCTGAGCTGGCTGAAGGGCCCGCAAACTTTCACGAGCCCTCCAGGAGTTTAGCACTCAGCGATTGCCTGCGGCATTGTCTCGACGAAGATAGGTATAAATGTAGTGTTGGTAAGGTGTCTTTGGGAGTTATCCTGTACGACTTTGGGTGTAGGCGGGGAGAGAAGGGCGGGCAAAAGCAGACGACATTTTTTGGGAGGGAGCTGCGAGCGCCAAGCGGCTAGCGGTGAGGAACGACCGGGGGGTCCAACACTCTGGTCGGGAAAGAGCGACCGATCCAAATGTGATGACTCCCCTGTGCATCACGCCGCAGCAAGACTCATAAAGCGGGCTTGAATAAGGACAGCGCATTCACTGATCTGTAGGCACCCGCTCTGTCGGTTTCACCCCATCGGCTCAAGCATCACGGACTCTGTTGAATTGTGAACGAGGCGCTGCGCAGCTCGTATGTCCATCGCAGGAATGCCCCACAGCAGTGCTGCGGAAAACATGCAGCAATCATGAGGCAACAGGGTTAGCAAAGAGTATCAGGCCCGGATGAACGCGCTCCCATTGGACAGTGTATAAACAAGAACAGCCCGCGTAGATTGCCTTGCTGGGTTGCGCAGTGCACTCCGTCCACATCTCTGCATACGTAACATCTGAACATCCTCAATATCTCTGCAATGCAATACCTATCTCCGCTACGGTGATCAGGCTATTTACCCGTCTTGTGCAAGCACGGCATTGATGATCAACCCCTCTAGGTGCCCTTGACGTCGATGTTCTGCCCCTCCACCCGGCCAAATCGATACGCATTGGGCTGTTGGCGCCGCGTGGAAAAGGCGGTCTGGATGAAAACGCAAAGGTACGGGCAGCGGCTGTTTGTGTGACGCAAGGATCCAGACTCTGCAGTGAGTTGATAACCTTCACGTTCGACATCCCCAGAGGAGGCGCATATTCGGCACGACCCTGTGAACGGTCTTTTTGATACTGTACCGTGATTCAAGCATGTGCGTACGCAAAGAAGAATCTTCCTTCACAAAATTTCCTCGGAGCAGTGATGAGGCTCAGGCCTTTCCTATTCAAGCCGCAGAATGCAAGCCGTTGTGGTCCTCAAGACTGTGATTCGACTCCACTCCCGAGCCCGCTCCTGATCTTCGGGTGGCCTGCATATAGCCACCTTCTCTCATTGGCCACTAGACCTTTCTACACATCTGGGGCAAGCGTCCCCATTCGCTGCATCGTGCATCACAGCAAGCGCCTGCCGCCAACGACCGGGATAGCTGTACAAAACTCCCCTTCTAACGACCACGACTTTGCGCTTCTTCTGCGCGACGATGCTGGAATAGTTATAGTAGAAGAAGAGTCAGTGTTGTGCAGGCACGGCGGTCTGGGGTCATTGACAGGTGTCGTGATGCAAGTGGAGAAGGACAGTGGAGAAGCATGCGCGTAGACGCCATCAGGGACTTCACGATGCGATTAATTTCCGAGTAATGTCTCATCAAGATCGCCACGTGCACTAAGAAGTGAGAGAAAAAGTTAAAGAAGGAAGGTGATCAAGTGTCTGGAGGCGGGCGTTACGCAATTGGTATGCTCGACTTCGGTGCGCTACGTGCAAGATGCCGTTACAGACCGCGCTCCGCGGCTTCAGTCTGACCAATGGCAGGGTGGGCCTTAGGAGCCTCAAGCTCGGCGAGCTTTGCGAGGCTGCCCAGATCACGAATGATGTCCTCGTAGTCGCTGCCTAGACAGTAAAGGAGACGGGCCGCCCATCGAAGCGTGTCGCGCGCTTGATCACGCGCAGTCGCTGTCGTGTCTTTTCCTTCTTGACCCCACTGCTCCACTTCGCTTTTGACCTTCCGTAAGATTGCCCAGATCGTCTGTCGATTCGGGAGAATGCGACCCTGCAAGACCAGTTTTGCACCCGAGTCTTGTTCGATCTCTATGTTGTCAGGCATAGCTTCGGCTTCCTCTCTTCTACCATAGCGGTATTGGGGCATAGTTGGCACACCTCCAGGGGCTCTGAATGGTCGAAACTCTCTCCCAGGTTCGTAGCACCATTGCTCAACGAGCTTCTTCCCCTTTGCACTGTCATACCGGTCGAGAACCCCACTCAGTATCTGATTGAAGTTCTCGGCAGGGAGTTGGATGCTTTGTCGAGAAGAGAAGTTCATGAACTGCGAACAGTACGCCTTCCATGTCTCGTCGACGGTGGAGAGTATGGCAAGCGTGCAGTTCAGCTCATTGCGGATGGTCCCCAGAATAAGGCCCTCCCAAGTGAAGAGCATGCCGAAGAAAGCCTTCTTCGCTTCGGCGGCCTCAGTCTCAGTGCTTCCAGAAGTACGTAGGAGTTCAGCAACGAAGGTGGTTAGGATGCTTGGTCGTGGCGTCCAGGTGGACAACTTCAGAGCATGCTGTTGCATGTTGCGAACAGCTTCCCATCGATGGAGTTTGACCTGGCTGCGGAACAACGCCGTCAGGAGCTCGTTAGGCATACGTTGCTGATTCAGCTTGGGATCAAAGTAACCAGACTTCTTGACTATTTTCAACACGATAGCGTTATCCCCAGCCAGTGTGCCAAAGCGGACAAGCGATGCAGCGATATTGCGATGAGTGTACAAGCCTTTGTGGATCAACGGACCGTCGAGATCCTTTGAGTGTACGAACCAGTTTCCAAGCTCGTACATCTCGGAATCAGTCGTAAGGTCCAACAGCTTCGCAAGCAACGGGACCGGAAGGTTTGTCTCGAACGATGGAAAGTCGATTGGTGCTGTCTGACTCGTAAAAGGCTCAGCTTGCCGTAAAGGAACATCCTTCAACGTTTCGAAGAATTGCTGCAATGACTTTTGTTTGTTATTATCTGCGTGCCGCTGGAGCATGTTGAAAGCTTCCATGGTACCTCGCGTGTCTCCGGTGCTGATAAAAGCCCTCATAGCCCGATGCAACAGGCTAAGCGGCGCGGTCGTGGGTTCGAAGAAGTATGGCACTTCATCATCAGCTGCCGGCGAGGCGTTTGCCGAGCCAACTTCTGTACCAAACTCTGCGGCAAGATTGAACAGGCGGAGCAGTAGCTCTGGGCGCACCTGGGGAGCAAAACCTCCCGACTCCAATAGACGCGTGATGACCGAGTCCCAGGCAACTGAACCTAAACTGAGATTGTTGGCCTCAAGGAAGTCCTTCAAGGTCTTGATATGATCGATCAAAATTTCTGGATTCGTACCGCGGGTTCCCACTCCCAGACGCATCTCATTGATGAGGGCGTCGATGAAGGCAGTAACAACCTCGCCGCTCACGGTTCTCCGCGTACGTGCACGATCATCGGCATCTGCTGCCGCATCTCCACGCATCGGGAAAAGTCTCCACCCCTCCGAGGCCGATGGTGCGCGCTGTTGTTCTGCCTCTAGGATCTCGCGCCAACTAATCAATCCCCAGGAATGATCGCCCTGTCTCGCGGCCAGCTTCTGGAGAATGAAGGTACCATCCCTCGTCCAACCGCCGTGAAGACAAGACCAAAGAATGAGTTCCAGCCAGAGCTCAGGTGCAATCTCGGTGATTTCGACTTTGTATCGTGAGCCGGGTACTTCATGGCCCAGGAAGTACGAAGCTTTGGCACTGTTCTTCGCAGCCTTGACGGCTGCTTCGTGCGCTCGCCAAGATGCATCTGACAACGCAGTCAAGATCTTCGAGGACAACATGTGCAGCGTTGGCGGCTGATGTAATGCGTATTTGTTGCTTTGCGGCCGAAACGTGTAGACAGAGTCCGGCATGAAACCGATGTGATGTAGGAATGCAATGATTTCCAAAACATGCGACATAATCACGTCCTGCCCAGGTTTGTTCTGCTCGGGTGCAGCCAGAATCATAGCGCCCAAGCTCCTCCACAACTGGCCCAATGCTCGCTTGACAATCAGGTGGCGCTGATTGATCGAGTCGGGCGCTGCAGTCAGCTCGTCTAGAGAGATCTCGAGCTTTCGTCTCTGCCGTGTTCGTTCGAGGCGCACAGGTTCATTCGTAATGTGTTCTAACGACTGACCTCCAGGGATAGACCAAGCCGCGTCTTCTGTAGGGTCGAACCGCGTCGATAGTTCGGTCGATATCCTCCCACCCTCTGCAAGCTTCTTTGCCATCCAGATCGCTGCTTGCCACCGTCCTTCGACCAGGCCAAGATGGCTTAATATATCGTGTCCTGCATCCTGAGCTTTGCTGACGAACATGGCCAGGTCGAACGTAGTCAGCGTCGGGGAGACGTCTGGCATCTCGGGTAATGCCTTTTCTCTGATATCCTCTGGGAAGTAAGGCTCAATGGCCGAAACCCATAGCTTGATGTCGCCCCGGTCATTGCGTGAAGGTGTGCGAATGCGGGTTTCTATGGGAGCCTCGGCGCCTTTTGGAGGATATACGTATACGAGAGGGTCGTTCGGTCGGTCCGTCGAAGTATGGGATGTGGCGCTCTGTGGCTTCGATCGACGCTTGTCTGAAGTGAAGGGGCGCTGGGAGCTTCGAGATAGCGCGGGTACAAGAAATGCGGCGACAGAATGGGAGGCAGCGGGGCCACGGCTAGACGGTCGGAAGGCCTGTGTCAGGGCGCTGCGAAAGCATGTGTGCGCAGTGCTCATTGAGGGAGAAACAGCCGGGATGGTGAGAGTGAATGCATGCGCATGAGAGGTAACTTTTTCCATGACGCCGACGATTGGTGGTCCGTCAGCCAACCGTAGCAAGCGCGTTCTCGCTAGCGTGCCTGCAGCCTGACCCTTGAGCTATCTGCCTGGAAACGTTGGAGCTGCAACATCACTGTCTTTTTACTACAAGTCTTCTGCCGCCGCTTGTCGCGGTCTTGAAGCTCGCAATCACTGCACATGTTTATTTTCATCCCAATCGTGATCATCACAGCATCACTGAGCCCAATCGACAGCTCGAAGCTTAGCTCGCGTCTGGCGCAATTGCATACACAGCTACGCCAAGATGGGTGTTTATCGCGTTGAAGCATCGCCTAACAACCGTGAGTTCCCATAGAGGGCAATAATGGGTCATTTCATAGGAGTTTATACTGACTTACCATCACAGGTGCCACGTGCATCAATAAAGAATGCAAGACCGCTGGTGTCAAGATCATGAAGGGCGAGTTCCGCTATGCCATTCAGGTGACCATCAAAGAGCATCAGTCGTGGCAGTACAAGCATTGGTGAGCATGTCTGCGACGCACCTCAGGTCCACATATTGATCTAGCCAGGGGCTGCGTCACGCCCGCGCAGATTGACAACCTCATTGAGACTTCTGGAGGCGACACGGAGATGGTCGATGGCTATGATGACCTTTCTGAAGAGTACCAGAAGAAGGTTGATTTCGCGCTGAAGAACGGTCACGTGCCTGATGAGGACTGGAAGGGCGTTAGTATACTCCAATGTATGAGGCTGAGAGCACATACTAACTACGCAGGACGTCGAGGCCAACCGCGATGGCCACAAAGGCATGCGTCTCAGCAAGACTGATCAGAAGAAGAAGGAGAAGGCCGAGCCTGCAGCCAACGACGATGAGAAGCCCAAGAAGAAGCGCGGCAGGAAGACGAAGGCAGACGATAATGAAGAAGACGAAGCTCCTGCCCCCAAGAAGCGCGGCCGCCCTGTCAAGAAGGAGGCTGAGGACGAAGACGAGGCTCCCGCGCCAAAGAAGGCCAGGGCTGCTCGTGGCAAGAAAGTGGAGTACAAGGAGGAGGAAGATGACGAGGATGAAACCCCCGCGCCAAAAAAGAGCAGAGCCAAAGCCAAGAAGGCCGCTGAGAGCGAGGATGAAATCACCCCTGAAGCAGAGCCCGAAGAAGAGGATGAGATCGAAGAGGGAGAGGAGGTAGAAGAAGCTCCCAAGCCAAAGCGAGGCAAGGCTGCCGCCAAGGGAACAGCGAAGGCATCCCAGAAGAGGTATGCATCATCAACAGGCATTACCACAAACGCATACTAACGCGGCCATCAGGGGGAGGAAGAAGGCTGTTACCGACGCTGAGTAGATGCATACAAGCATCTCATTACGGTGATATATCCTGCATCGCGTCGCGCTTTGCTTTCGGTGCTGGGGATTGCCCTATTTACACTGTGTTGCGTTTTGGCGGGATTCATGTACGATATATACCCTCCTTACGGCAGCTGGTAATGAACATCGATAACTGAACATTTGTTGTCCGAGTGCAGGGCCATCGGGGTGCTAGCGGAACGCTCGTGACAACGCGTCTTAGCGCGTTCTTGGTGCTCTCACCTTGACAGGCACGACTGCGAATGAGATCTTGCCACCATGCGGGCACACTTTCCGTCGGTGACATTACCCAGCATATGGACACAACCATCTATAGTTGTCTGCTACCGACCACCGCAGACCTCAATGCTACGAAGCAAACAATCAAGGATCATGGCTGCAAATCGGTGCTGCCGGCTGGAGCGGGAATGGCTTCCCTGCACAGCACTCTATCCAACCTCATCTTTTCCCTTTCATACTCGGCTTCTCTTTCGTTTCAATCACTCAACTCGACGCGATTGCATATATTCAAGCCGGTCCTGCCTGTATCGATAAAAGGTCACCTCCCTTCGACAACAGCTCAAAGATAGCGGCGATGTATCCCTATCCCGGGTGTGGCATCTGCGGCCGGGAATTCAACAGCTATTCAGCATGTCGACAGCATATGAATGCAACCGGCTACATCTACGAATGTGATACCTGCGAGGAGGACTTCTACACCCACGATGACGTTTGTGGTCATATGGACCAGTACGATCACTGGTGCACCCACTGATGCTAGCCTTGCAACAAAGGGTTCGAGAACGAGAACAATCTACGACAAGTGAGTGCATCCTAGCACTCAGGAGAAGTTGGAATCACCCACACTGCATAGCATCTCAATAGCGGTATACGTCGTGGCACCGACATCCCCTGTCCATTCTGTAAGCGCAGATTCGCAACAGCTACGGGTGTGACCCATCACGTCGAAACTGGCTCTTGTCCAAAAGCACGCTCGATGAACCGCGATACCATTCTAGCCAAGATCCGACGCTGTGACCCCAACCACATCATCACCAAGAATCTTATCAGGTACGACGTCGAGTCCTCAATCACGGTCACGCCCGCATCATGGAATGATCGCATTGGCATGTACGTATGCTACCTCTGCCACAAGGGCTTCCGCAACCCGAGGAGTCTAGACAACCACGTCAACTCGCTGGCGCATAAGGAGAAAGTGTACCAATGTCCAGGATAAACGTGCAACAGGGAATTCAAGGCGCTTGCCGCACTTTTCAACCACCTGGAGAGCGAGACGTGTGGAGCTGTGAGGTTCGAAACCGTGCAACGTGACGTCGGGGGATCTTGAGTGGCCAGAAGTGCATTGGATTCGATTGAGTCGGAGCTTCGAATCAACATGTACCATATCACTCCGACTGTCCTGCGCAATCGCTTCAGCCATTTGATCTACTTTCTCCAGAATCCACACACACCCCTCGTTACTCAATAGCCACCTGATAGCCTCCTCCTCCCCGATGCCTTTCTCAGAGGTCCGACTTCCATCTTTGCATGCATTCTTTAGTCCACAAACATGGTCATAAACCTGCGGCGCAAACCCCTGCTGAGCCTGCAAACACGCAATAGCCCCGATACTCGTCGTCACCCTGCCATTCCGGAGACAGTTGCCATACATAGTGCCGACGGTAAAAGAGGGCAACTTTGGATGCGCCTCGGCGAGTTTCTGCTCTACCGCGTTTGCAAACTTGCCGTGGATCGACGTCCAGAGTTTGCGGCCCCGCGCCTGGATGGAGGGGAGATTTTGAGCGTCTACATGGCGGGGTGTCGATTTGCTGAGGGAAGAGCTGATGTATGGAGGGACCGAGGCGTGCAGGGTTATGAGCATTACTGCCGTTTGTGGGATCTACGGCGATGGTAGTAGCTGAGTATGACAATGCTTCAGCCTCGTAGATGGAGCCTCATTCCTCATCATGCGCAGAAGCATGTTACTTTCAATCATTCATAATCTGATGGCTTCGCCTATTATCTGTTATAGCGTTTGTGAAACGGTTTTTCTGTCGCAGCAGCAAACGATGTCCGAACACACACTCTTATATATAGCGCCACATTTCCTTGACCTTCTTTCCTACAAGGAGGTTCAGGTCGAAGAATTTGTTCAAGAACTTCAATGTCTGAAATTTCTTCTGTCCACAAATTATCAGTGTCCCGCTTTTTGTGCGTTTGTTCGAAACACGAAAGCAAGCGGCTCATGTTGTCTCCTGCAAACAAGATAATACCATACGTATATACCACAAAGATCCAGTTCCCAAAACTCGGTGCATTTGAACCATGTGTTCTTTGCACCAGAACACAGTCGAACTGGCAAAAGTATAGAGAAGACATCATCCGCTTTGTCGATCCTCTGGGCCAGCACGTGTCAGCAGCTTTCAAAAGTCACAGTGTCCAAGACAATGTGCTGGGTAGTCTCAGCCGACTTTTGTATGCGATTTTCTTTTTCTTGATCCTTTGTTGCTTGAGTCCAAGCCTTCCTCTTACTCCATTCAGAAGAATGCGCATTTTCAGGATGTCTGGGTGTTCCAATCTGGGAAGGAAACTTGTCTATGGCGATTGAGGTCGGAGTCTTGAACCCTATGTATGGATCCAGGTCTTCACCTGGCCATTGTATCCTCACATAGAATGCCTCTCCACAATCCTCGTGCCTTTGCGCCACAATGCTAAAGGAGGGGAGATTCGTGTTAGCGGCTTTTTGTCTCCTTCCAATTCTACCTGAAAAGATCTCCTGTGGCTCTGGTATTCCAAAAAATGCAGGTCATTCGCCATGTCCGCCACCGGATCCAAGTCAGAGTTTTTTTTTAAAAAAAAGCCAACAAATCCATACATCAAGGCTTGACTACACTGAGAGCCACAGCCAACACGAGGCACGGCTGCCTAAATGACCTTGATCTGGATCGATGTGCTCTGTAGGACTGATCAAATGTCAAAGGACAGGCTTCCATGACTTGGGCCATCTCTCTCGCTCAAGTCGCGCTGGTCGGTTGGCACAAGGAGCTAGACAACAGTTCAATGTCTTCAGTTGTGCTTCGCTGGTTCACAAATCCTGCAACGTCGTGAAAAGCGGCTTCAGGGAGATATCATGTTGGATATCATTCATGTCTTCTGTCCTTCATGTTCCAAACTCATGTCCTGTACAGCGCAGCATAGTATTGAAGTCCGCTGATGAGACGGTCAGCGGTTGACCATCTTTCTGCATAGTGCGAGCTTACTGCTTGTCCATACCGGACATGTTGGGTGTAGCATTCAGTATGATGGCTGCTCGTATCGATGTGCTGCGCTTCTTTCCCGATTCGATTTCCCCTAACCCTTCATTTCAGCCAAAAATAAAAAATAAAATAAAAAAAAAGTAGGTATTGCAGGCTTTTGGGTAGCCAAAACTCATCTCAATCTACAACCTCGGTAGAAACCTGCAGTTAAATCCATTGGGGGGCGCGTTCGGGCAGGACGACACAAAGACTCACACTTGCACAGGCTAAGACCGCATTCACAAGTAGCTGCGAGCAATGCGTCGTGCGCTCTGATGCCATGTCCCGCAGGATACGCTCCCTTGAAAGACAGGGCGGCCTCGATACTGATGCGATATGCACGTGGAAAGCAGATTTCGGTAAAGATAATTGTCTAAGATCGCGTCAGTCCAATTCAACGCAACAAACTCACTCAACAATGGCGCCAATAACTCAGCACCGTGGTAGGGTTTCAGATATTGAGGCTGATAGAGTACTGCCAGTTCGACTTCTCGAGCCGAGCCGTGCGGAAATGTTGCTTGGTACATTGGTGAGCGTAGGTAGCTCGGTATCAACAGAGAGGCAGGGAACTCATGTACCAGAGGAAATGCATATTGCCTGCTTGAATTGAGTGCGACGGCTAGCTGGACTGACAGGTCACTATTTGACGTGCTTGAGCACAGCTGGCTGACCTTAGTCCTGCGAGCTCTACACGGCTCGCACGTTGTCTGTCCCAGTCTCTCTCGTTGCCGGGATACTTTTTCGAAATTAGCTGTCGAAATCGCGACAGCCTACAGTCGGTCGGACATTTATTACTCACACGCTGTCGGAACAAAACGCATTGCAAGGCCATGAGGTTCATGAGTATGAGCGCCAGAAGCTTCGCATCGCAAGCCAAGACAGTCCAGAAGGAAGACAGGAGAGGCGGCTGCAGGACGAACAGTGCTATACATACATAGTCCGCGTGCGCGCTAACTCACATTTCTTCGTACTCACCATTGCCGTATCCGTATCCGTATCTGTATCCCTCCCTCTCCCTATCCGTACCTGTATCCTTCCCTCTCCGTATCCGTATCTGTATCCCTCCCTCTCCGTATCCCTATGTCCTTCGACATGATCCCGCACTGAAAAATCACATCGTCTCCAGCGTGCCTGGACTGGGGGAGGGAGTGCGGTCGGTTTGAGATGGAATAGATAGCGGCTACCAAGGACAACGACTTGAAACACAGACGCCCAAGACCAAACCCCCCATCAAGATCAAAGCTTGGGATTGAAAATTTCCGCATGCTCTGCATCACACTCCCGCAGCTCAGACGTGCCCCGACGCGAGGCGAACATGCAACAAAAGCAAGCCCTTTGCCTCATAACGTCGTGACCAAACAGCGCCCGTCTACTTCACCTCGTCTTCTTGATCTCCGTGGCCCACCCCTCGATCCCCTCGCCTTTGCTGCGACACGTGATGCCCAGATCCACGCCCTCCATGCCCTTGGTGTCTTTGAGCCATTCGTGGCTAGCCATGCCCCCCGCATTGGCGCGATCAACGGGCAGGAGCTCGAGCATGGGCAGCAGGAAGGAGGCAATCTCCTTTGCCTCGTCCTTGGGGAAATGGTATTTCTCGTGGAGTACGTCGGGCAGCGCCCAGTGGCGCAGACGGTGGATGTTGCGCAGCTCGCCCTTGCGGTTGAAGATCTCCTGGCTCCATTTGCCCGACAGACAGAGCGACTTGGGGAACGTGCCGAGCAGCTCGATGATCTGCGCAATGTGGTCGTCGTCCTTGCCGTATTTTGTGCCCGACTGCGGGTCGAAGAGGTAGTCGCCCGTGATGAGTTCGAACGTCTGGGGTTGTTAGCACAGGAAAAGAAATCAGGGTCCACGGGTCAGACGCACCATGGCAGCCATGCTCCAGACGTCGGTGCTGGCGCCCCACTTGCTGCCCAGGATGACCTCGGGCGACCGGTACTGGCGCGTCTGGATGTCGTTTGTGAAGTGGTGGCCGACCCAGCAGGCGTTTCCTAGATCGGCGATTTTGACCGAGATCTTCTCGAATGCGAGGTCGGGTGTGTTTGCGGTGGATTTCTCGTTGGAGTTTGTCGACTGCTTGTCGAGGCTGATGCCGGACACTTCTCTGGTGAGGAGGTCGCTGTGTGCGTTAGACTCATGGACGTGGGAAGGGTTCTGGACGTGGAAAGGGTTCTGGACGTGGAAAGGGTTCTGGACGTGGAAAGATTTCTGACGTGGAAAGATTTCTG